ATTTTTTATTAATCAATCTTTGGCATTTACTTTTAGATTTACTTTTATATGTAATGATGTGGAGGAAATAAGCTTTAGAGATTTCCAGGCCCAAAACCATTCATATGTATTTGTTTCGATTCTCATTATTATTTTTTCACCTGATCTTTTTATTGTTTTTACTCTCTGTCCAAACAAATCTCAACAGAAACAGAGTTTGTGATTAAAGGGAACATGCAATGTGGGGTGTATGTCACTATTTGATAACAAAAAACAAAACAAAAAGCAGTCTCCTACTCTCAATGATGTCACCCAGGCCCTGGGCAAAGAGAAGATCTTTCAGGCGAGACACTTCCTCCTTCAGTTCACGCACCAGTCGGTTGTTGGGATCCTCGTTAATGACAGCATTACAGCGAATCTGTTTGGCTCGGTCAGCGTACCTGAGGAAACAAAGCAATGCACATGGAGCGTGCTCACTCAGGTGATAGGGGAGGCCACAAGAAACACATACCGTTCCCCTGAAATCACACGTTTAGGATAGTACCACCTTATACTGCAGCTGCAACTCTTGAAGGTGTTTGAATTGTGAAACTGATGCAAAACAGCTCAGGAAAATTTGAATTATGCAACACTTAATTCTAGTGGCACCAGCGTCTTTCAACACAAAGTGCATCTGCTGTGTGAAGATAGTCTGAAGCAGATGATGAGCTACCTGAGAGTGCTGAGGGTCTCATCATAGTTGATATCAGCTGGACTCAAGGCAGCAACCATTGCAGTCCGAGAATTCCCCCCTGACAAAATTCAAAGAACACATAGTTAAGAATGTTTTGAGCTCATTTTTGGCGAAAATGATTTAATTATTTTTAAATAACACTTTAACAAATACAAAGGTAATACCCAAATTTTCTCTCAGTAGCCAAGTTAAAACCGAATCTCTATATGGGATGAAGCTTTCCACCTTTTTTTTCTTTTTATTCTGTGAATAAAACAGAATTTAACACAATTTGAATGTACACATGTGGAATCTTGGGAAACATTAAAGGAGGAAAATTATTTATAACATACCTTGTTTGCACCAGAATCCTAAAATTAAGTGAAAAGAATAAAAATGTTTAATCAATTTAATACATTTTCTCTCACAATGTATAATAAAAAAAGACATACCACTTCTGCCAAAGCAGAGATGACTTTCCCCAGTGTAGTAAGAGATTTATTGATATTTGCTCCTTCCTGTTCCAAACATGATGATACCAAAGTAAACACAAGAATTCACTGCTTTATCCACAGCAATTGTTTCCCATCAAAGCAAGTAAATGTAATTTGATATTTATATGTTAAACTTAATCAAAAAAAAAATTAACCTTAAGCCTAGTTCCTTTGGCTCCAGTAGAGTCTGCCCTCTCACTGCCGGCCAAATCCACCAAACTTATTTTGCTGACCTGCAACAGTCCAGCAAATAAATATTCAACATATAAAATCCAACACATGAGCTTCTTACAAAAAATGTATATGAAACCATATTCATTCCATAGACTCCATTCTGAAACAGTTTCACAGTGCAAATTTATAATCATGACCTTCAAAAAGTAATTGACTTCCACTTGATATCAAGACTTATATTAAAGTACTAAGCAAAGACAAGAAAAGAGGAAGCAAGATATTATTTTTTTTAAAAGATACCTTTTCAGAAGTGTTATCAGTCTCTGCATCAAGCCGTTTCTGAGTGAATATGATGTTAAAGACGGCATGTGAACGACTGCTTGTCTCATTCATGTTGGTGGCAGCCACGGTTCTGTACAAAAAGAACCCCAAGTCCTTTTAGACATACAACTCCTATGTTTCCAATAAACCCATTCATGATACAGAATTCAAGGTTTTTATATATATATATACTGTATATATATATATGACATTATTATTGTTTAGAAGAACAATAAGCCTAGTTGTGTACATTTTGTGCATTTAGTTAATCTTATATATTCTGTGGACTCAAAGCAATATTTCAACCATTTGCTATTGTTCTATCCGGTTGAATATCTTTGATGAATAGATCACTTGGATAATAGATTCCAAATCCTTAGTTTATGTATAAAGCAGTAAATTACACAACCATTAAAACACTAGCTTCTGAATTAATAAATGAAAAGGTTTATCACCTGGCCTTATTGCCGGAGTCCATCAGGTCCTGGATGTCATTGTAAGATGTGACTGCTAGCTTAGACAGGTCTTCCACATAAGGTCCCATCAGAGGATGTTCTCGCACTCGAAGATTGCCTTTGTTTTTCGGGTTCAGTAAGTCCCGCACGCGTTCACAGTAGATTTCCATGTAGCTGACCTGTTTAAATACATTTTCAGCTTGAACATTTGTAACCAAGGGAAGGTTTACATCTGTTGAAAGAGAAGATAATGGAAATGATTCACTCTTACCTCCACAGAGTAAGACATGCTGTTATCTGTATTATCACTGATCTTTGTGAACAGATCTTCACACAACTGGAAAGAAAAAAACATAATTATTTTCTCAATTAAAAGAAACATCCTCAAATGTGTGATCAACACTTGAAAAGAAATCTCTCGATTAATCTACCAATGGGATGATTCCCTGCTGATCCTTGACATCCTGTTTTCCCATCATTGTGTAGGACTTGCCAGCACCTGTCTGACCGTAAGCAAAGATGCAAACGTTGTAGCCTTCAAAGGCATGAAGCAACATCTCCTCTCCAATGTCTTTGTAAACGCGCATCTGAGAGGCATAATTAACATCCTCGGGCTGTGGACAGAGATCAGTAATGTAAACGTTACTTTACAGTATTGTAATGGACATATATACAGTATGTGTGTTTTGGTTGCGCTACTGGGGATAAGAATGTTTTACCGAGGTGTGTGACCAGTAGGAGTAATCAAAGTTGAAGCTCTTGTTGTCTTTTGCCTGCTTGGGATTGACGATGGCTGAAAGACAGGAGAAAAAGCACAGGTCAGTGAGAGGGTGAGCACCACAAACGTGAAACTCTATCGCAGCTGGATCGGTGTCAGGTTGTGCGAACAGAGCAGGAGAGGCCCAAGTTGCAATCTTCTTTTGTTATCAACAAAAAAAATTTCATTTTCATTGTGACAGCATGGTCAGTAAGATTCTTACATACATCCTTGCATACGATAAAAATAAAAGGTAACAGAGACGGAAAAAATGTGATAAGAAACTGAATAATTTGTAACTCATTACTAACACCGGAGGGTTTGTAACATATTCCTCTCCTTGTTTCGTATCTCGGTCAGTAATGATTTTCACATTAAAACTAAATTAAACATTTTGAGCATTCCCCTGTACATAATCCCATGACACTGTTACAGTCATCTTATCTTCAGTTTAACAACAAATACAAAATAGTTCATACAAACGATTATCAGTCGCACTGTTCTAACTCCCACCTGAGACAACTATTTTATTACCTGCTTGGTTTTGTTGGCCATTTTAGGACAGCTCAGATTCAGCTTGCCATCTTACAGCTCAGCTCGGCTCATCTTTCAGCAGTTCAAGGTTGCTGTACATTGTAAGGTTTAGCTGTCCTTTCTTAGTCCTAGCTATTTTTATTCTTAGTCTATTTATTCCTCCATGATGGGAGCTAAAGTGTCAATTGATTTACATGTATGTATGTAGTTATTTCATTAGCCATGACATGTTCCATCTTTTGGGACATGTAGATAAGCTAAATTAACACATTTATCTACATTGATTACAGCACAGTGGATATCTGTGGGCATATTGTCGTTTTCGGATTTCTGTTTCGCACAGAAACGGAGATGAACAAATTGTAGTCCGTCCTGGCAGATTTACATCTCTTGGATGAGTAATGATGACTCATGGAAATCTACTTTAAGCGTGACGTCTCATCAACTCATAACACAATAATGTGCAGTGGATGGTTTTTGTGGTGACGGCCTCTGTGGTCATTGGTGGGCTGGGGGCTGGTGTTGACAGATCCCCAAGATATTGTTTGTTCACCTCAGCATCAAGTTGAATGTTTATGTTTCTAAACAGATTTTGAAATTTTACAGTAGGATAATGTTTCAGTTAAAGAGATAGAGAGTAGGGTCAGAGTTTAAAGTTAGTTTTGTTTTTATCTTTGTTTGTTATGTTTGTTTGTTTAGTTTGTTGTTGTTGTTTTTTTGTGTGTGGGGGGTGTTATGATTTTAAGCTCAGTTGCATCCAGCCCATTTTTAAATTAAATTAAGGGGGACATAATTGTGGGGGAAGCACCAGAATACTTCAGCTGTTCTAATTGCACTTTAGAGCTCATTAGTGCGTACATGAAGCTGATAAAGCTCCTTTGGAATCAAACTCTTTGTGCAAACCATCATTATGCAATTGATATGTGTTTCTAATATGAAATCTCAACAAAAAGTAAGTATAATCCAATAATGGATATCTGAGCACAATGAAAAACAACTATGTTTCTATGTGTCTTGAATATTTCCATTAGTCATTATGGTCTCAGTGAGAGGATAACATTCTTTAATAATTTATGTTTCACGAAGCTACTTTTTCTGTCAAAAAACGAAGTGTGTAAGACATAAAAATGATCATAATTGTTCTGCAAATATGCTTTATCTATTTAAGCAGATTTATTTCTGTTAGATATGAAGGTGAAGGCAAAAATGTAACACCTGTACAGCGCAAATTCTGTAAACTCAGAAAGATCTCAAACACTTTCTGACAAGCTGTAGTACTCATACAAAATGTGGTTTTGTGCATTTACAAGCTCATGCCGTTGCTAAAAAAGCTTCCTCCGTGCTCCCAGACCTCCAGACCATTTTTGCAGCTAATGGACATGCTTTCAATAAAAGAGGAAAAGGCCTTGGGCTAAGTACACTCTATGATTTCCTCTCTGTATTGCATGTGTGTTTCTAAGACATATTATGCAGGCCAGTTTGGCAAATTAAGGTTTTATATTTAAGGCCACAATGACAAAGAGGTAAGTCATTACTCATTGAATATACCATGCCCAGGCCCACTGAAAGAAGAAAATATGTTGAAATGTTTCCTCCTCTTTCTTATATTTTGGATTTCACCATTCTAACCATGCATTCTAGATTAATGCTAACCACAAGATTCACTGAGGTAATCTGAAATGACATCACCATTCCAAGTAACTGTGAATATCTACTTAAGACAGGATGAGCAGCCAACATTACTTAAACATTATTAATGCATCACTTCACTTATCAATGACAGATCAGGATGTGCCAGCTCACCCTTGTTTCCAGCATTGTGAACAAAATGTAAACTGATTTACTCAGGAAGTTCATTGCATCTGTGTAGTCTGGATCAATCAGTGCTTTGATTGTACCTTAAAGATCCACTTCAACTTGATAACAATTAGGTCTAATAAGAAACGTTTCTAAATTCTTCGTGATTAGTTTAGAAATCATGGAAAGTTTGAAAGTGGTGTCAAACTCAATCAAATGGGATACGACTGGGCTGTTCACAGTAGTTTGTACCGGTAACCAATTGAAGCAACCCCATTAGAGCTAAACATTCAGTTTGCAAGTTGTGAAAAGCTACAGGAAAAATTTCATTTCCAATTACTTGACACAATTTTTTTCATATTCTGTTGATTTTGCCAGAAGTTGCTAAGACTTACCCTTCCTTCTAATTTTCACTTATGTAACTACTTGCGTCTCTAATAAGAATTTGAAAACCCCCTTTGGTATAACTATAAAGCATATTTGATCATAAATAAAAACAATAATGCTTTTGCTATGTTTAACTTCCATTCACCCATTTTCTGTAGAACAGGGTGGCAGGGGGTTGGAGTCTACCCCAGCTGAGAAGTGTGGTGCACCCTGGACAGTTTGCCCGTCCATCACAGGACAACACACTCTCATATTCACTCCTAGGGACAATTTGGAGTGTCCAGTTAATATAGCATGCCGCTTTTTTGAGGTAGGGAGGAAGTACCCAGAGGAAACGTGGATGCAGAGAGAAAATGCAAACTCCACACAGAAAGGTCCCAGTCCTCTAGGGATTAAAACCAGGAACCCTATAATTAAATTAGTGCAAATCTATTATCATTACTGTGTTTTAAATCTATTAACAGCTGTAAGCCATAATAACAATAATAATAATCATCATCATCATTATAATAATACTAATACTAATACAACTAATAATAATAAGAAGAAGAATAAAAACATTTGCTGATGCTTATTCATAATTCAGGACATTTTCATTTAAAAAACTTTGCATGCATCCTAAAGAAAATATGTGTTATGCTTATCAGGTGGTCCGTTTTTATTCTTTCTTTTCATTTTATTCTACAAAGTAAGAGGCAACTGCATTTGGCAACTTTTTTATTGCAAATCAGTGAAAAATATCTGCTGCAGATGAATTACAGCTGCTATTCTGTTGTGTTTCACACATCATTTGATGGTAGATTGCATATTTGTTTGCATGATTGCATGTTTATTCATACCAGTTTGAGCTTCATGATCATGACTGAGTGATACCGGTAACATTCTCACGGGTGAACTGCCCTAGTCAATAGAAGAGGAAAAGTGGCTGCGTCATCATCTCTGGCAGATATTTGAACCAAATGACAGTAACATGAATGCATATTCAGCAGCAACAGCTGCTTACAGCCTAAAAGACAAAAAAGATAAGATGCACTTGGCCACATATGTGCGCAAAAAAAGCAATATGTATGAAGTGACGTGTTCCATCAATACAATTTAAGTTTGAATTAATTTGTTTGCCTAGAATATCAGTTTTCCTTGTATGACGGTAAACATCTTTAAACAGGAGCGTCTTGAAAAACAGAGCCGGGATAGAATAGTAGATAAGAAATCCTATCAATCCACATAGAATAAACCTTAAATGACATTTGGTTTTGACTAGGATCATTGCATAAAGGGGCCTCCTAAACCCCAGCATGAACCCAAAGAGAGAACAGTGGGATTTTTTATCTTCCATTTAAATGCAAAATTTTTTTAAAACAACAATAGCCGAAGGGGATTTTTTTCAGGATGTGTCAAAATTCAAACCCTCAGACTATACCACAACATTTTATATATTAACAAATGTTATGATAAGCTCCACAGGTCAAATTTATGATTTATTCATAATTTTAAGGTGGCAAAATAAATCTCAAGCTAACCACCAAGAATTTGCACCTTGTGGAGAGAGCCATTATTCCCTCAGGTTTATCCCCTGCATCTTAATTAAGTTTAGCGTGGGAGGAAAGACCTGTCAAACAACAAGATTACTGGCATTCTTTCACTTTGTGGGAACTGAACTATTGACCAACACATGAGTGTTAGAGAGCACAAAGCAGAGAAAGAGAGACAGACAAAAAACTCCCAAACTCCTTCGTTTTCCTTTATTCAACCAAGACCAGAGGAGGACAAGGGGATATTTATACCCCTCTTATATGCCCCCACCCGGCACTCCAACCAGTAGGCTTAAATTCAATCATGACATCAGCCTGTTCATGTCCTCCAGCCCACATCCAGAGCTATTGACTCAGTCTGGAAGAGAACTATCTGCTCTGTTGAATGAGCTGCTGTTTCACTCATCTTTAAGACTGAACAGCTTGAAGTTCACTCGTATTGCTAAGACAATGTTAGGATCTGCTTCATGTCTGGATATTATTACATATACTGTAAGTTCACTTAACATGGTGTACTACTAGTATTTTGGTGATTCATTGAAATAACTTCCACCATTTCCCTTATATTTGTACCTTCCCTTTAAATTGCAGCTAAACTAATCAGAAGAAATTGTTTTTGCAGTTCTGTAAATACTTTAAGATCCCTGTGAGATACACATTAATTGGACTGGGACACTAATTTGGTTTTAAAAGAACTTAACTATGTTATCCAGAGTGTTCCAAACTATGTGTGTCCAAGATCAATCCAAGATAACCATGTCTTCACTGAGTGTACGTTAAAGGAGGAAACACTGCTTATAACAAATACTAAAATGATTAACTTAATTTAGACATAGAGGGGATTTGTCATCACCTATGGGATAGAAGTCTTGAAACTATCTGATTACATTAAACTTTTGCTTGGAAACTTTAAGACAAACATAGGAGGACTGAACCTAGCTTGTTGTTTAGTCACCCATAGAATGAGCAGGGAGGAGGGAGATGGCTAAATTAGGCCAAATGGTAAATATTTTAGGAAGTCTCATTCATTATTGACAAATGGCTTTAACTTGCAAGGCAGACTACATATCGAGTATCTTTCCAGTCTCACTGCCCAAGCCTTATAAAATCTATGGAATGTAAGCTCTTTGAACCGCTGAATACTCCTTAAAAGATGTAATACTAAAAGGAAATACATTAGTTTTAAAGACACATTTCACACTTATGTTTTTAGATTAAAAAATTAAGTTTTGTCCAAATTGTTACCATTTTGCCAATTTCATATTCACAATACAATATGCATCTGATTTGAGTTGAAAGATTAGTTGAAAATGGGGAATTATGGGACTGATTCATTTTATTCAGCTTACACCACAATAGGCTGTTCTCTAAATAAATATCAAATTTTGGGGCGATTATGTCACCTTTAATGTGATGCTTAAGATATTAGAGTTTTATTAACTGTTGTATTTCTCCTTATTTATTCACGAACCGTGTATTAACTATCAATTCGGTATTCATTTTGTCTCATATAGATTCAAAACTGGCTTCCATTGGAATCCCAGAGAGATTTTCTGCTCCTATAGTGTGTCTTGACTTTGTTTGTTTTCTTCAGATTTGTAGGGTTATTTTTAGTACTACGAACAGTATGTTTTGTACATTCGGTCATTTAATAAGCCCGTCATTGAGGAACAGTGCAGCAAAGAAAGCTTGAATGCTTACCTTATGACAAGAGATGGATCCTAAAGATAAAGCTTATGGCCAGCTGTGTAGTATATTTACCACTTGGGAAACCTATGTCCAGGCATTCACTTGGATGTTACCTTTCCACTTGCCAATGACAATAACATTTTTGCAGACCAGCATAGCCCTACAGAGGCCGGACAGTCAGAACAGCTGCAGGACTAGGACTAGGAAGTGCTCCCCGGATACTGGCATTTGTGGAATTTAAACCCAATCCAAAAAGGTTTGGATTGGGTCCTTAACCCACACGGCACAAAGATCTATTAAGTCCTGGCTACAGACATTTTATGACTCTTTTAAATGTAAGCCAAATACGAGTCATAGCAATGATGGCAGCATAACTGGGATATTAACACTTTTAATGATTAGTGTTCAATGTTTGCAAAAGTAGTCAATGTAGTCAGCTTGACAAGAAAAAAACCCTGGTTGAGGTACTTACTGGTGGTGTTGCCAGACATCTGGATGATGCATTTACTTTCTTTTCCAATCTCTCGTGAATTGAAGGGGCGGACCCGCACCGCCACCTTCACCGAGGCCCCTGCCATGGTGCTGTCTTCTTGGCACCTTTGGTGCCTTCTCTAATGCCCAAGAAAGGGGCCCTAGCGGTCTCTAAAAGGATAGAGAAAAGGAATTGTAATTGTTATATACACCGCTTTTTTCAGCACGTCAGTATATGCGCAAATAGTCTTCCATATCATACATCAGCCCATCCTTGTGCATGTCATGCTGTATCATGTCACAAAACTGCTACTTAATTCCCACATTTAAAAGAAAAAGGATAAAGTGGGTATATTAGAAATTCTAGTGGATTTGATCTGGACAATAGAGAGTTGTGCGGTGTTGCTGTAACATAAAAAGACCATGCATGGTCAGCTGCTGTCAAGGGACAGGGATAATAAAGCTGGCTGTAACAAAAGAAGTGCAGCAGCAGCTAAATGGAACAGGATATTTCTCTGGATGAGAATGGCACAAAAACCACCCACAAATCCAGCTCCATTCAGCATTCCAGTCTCATGATAAGCTCTAAACTTGTATCACTGTCTCTTAGAATACTAAAAATGAACATTAAATCATTGCGCATTTGTTGTTTGTGGCCCCATTGTGGGTGTATTGAGAACCACCATGACCTATCGCTATATCAAAATTTTCATTAATGTGCCAAACTGAGATATGTAGTTAATTTCAGATGTCACTGCATCCACCTCAGTTCTAATGATTATAGATTGACATATATCATTATGAGCATGTCCATTTATCTTATTCAACTAAATGCCAGAGCTTTAGGATAATGTTTAATTTTGAGTCAGCAGTGAGAGGATCATCACTGACCATGATGCAAACTTGCTGTGTCACCCTGCTTTCTTGAATACCTTATAGAGCTGGCACCTTTCAGATTAATTGAAGAGGTTTACAGGCACAACCTGAACAATAGCTAAGGTATTACAGCATACAAACAGGATTTTTAATTTAAAGTAAAAAAGTAAAAACAGTAAAAATATTCATTAATTAACATTTTGAAGTCACAATTAAGATAATGTAGATTGAAATTCAAGTCACATATCAAGCATTTCATTTGTCCACATTCTGTACAATGTTAGCGGTGTAAAAATTCTTCTTCACGTTCCAAATTTCTAATCGGAAATTCATGGTCATAATCTTCTCAAACCAATTAACTGATGACTCTGCCCAGCTGAGCGGTTCCCATTGTCCCAGTGACAAGATTAAAAAACGATGTGTAGTGCCTACATAAGAATGACAACTAGTCGATACAATAGAATGAATACATTTGACAATGGAACCGTATGAGTTACTTGTTATTTTTCACAGATTTTCAAATACAGCTTAAAATGTTCAACACATCATGACTCGACGTCGGTTTGCGGCCTATATAGGATAAACCTAATATGACTCCAATTGTCTTCGACGAGCCTGTTCTCCAAATTCTAAAATAATCTTATAATCTTCACTGTGAAAAAAAATTACATTGAAGATTATAAAATGTGCTGTTTGCCGGTCGACACACTTGACGAGTCGTGGTTTCTTGATAAGAAGACTTATCGAGTTCTATATTCCAGTTTGACGCCATACAATAACGTGACATTTCATAAGTCTTGTTAAGCAGTAGCTTAATGTCCATCTGCTGCCGACGGCCACTACCTTCCGGCGACACTCACAGCTTTTTTTGCAATGGCCGCACCCTATGCACATCTCCTCCCAGGGGGTTTAACACTGGGCTAAGTAAATAAAGACTGCCCGGTTGAAACTGCATTGCTAGCGACACAACGGGTAGGAAATAAAAAGGTGACATCCTACCTACTCAATGCTAATGTCCCGTTTGTTGTGCTGGTGCGTTTTTAATATCCAGCCCCCGCGGATACCTCCTCCACCACCGCTGGTTTCCTCCAGGTCTGGCACTGCCCGCCTTATGAGCCTCTCCTCTCCATGAAAAACGGGACCGGCGGAGGAGGAGGCTTTGAGGCCGATTTCTGTTTTTGACACCACCAAACTACCAACCGGTTCTCTGCCCTACCTGGACTTGCCTTGCGGGATGAGGCGAAAAGATGACCTGTCCGCCGCTTTTTTCACAATCCGAGGCGGTCAAAATGGCTCTGTTTGTCTTCCCGTCTTTGGCAAGGATGCTCTAGCTCCACAGAGCCGGTGACATCATCACTGAGGGAGGTAGCAGCATCAATGCAGAGGACGAGGGAGGGAGCGAGGTAGTGGCTGAGGAAGGGAGTAAGATTGTCGTTGAACACAAAGTAAAGCTACTGCTACTACTACTTTTTTATTTCAAGTTGAAAATGGAAAATAGTAGGCCGATGTATATTTTTTCCTCAAGCGTTTACATTAAAAAAAAAATAATAACTGTATTTTTTTTGTACGCTTGGGAAATAGAACTATGAACAGGCTGTTTAGTAGGTCAAACCAGGGACGTCAAGCAGAGGGGAGACGAACAGGAACATAGGAGGTCGTTGCGCCACTGAATCCGACTTCAGATCAGGGAAAGACAGGTCTCATCCTCAGTTGTGTTTAAAAAATGTGTCCCCACAAAACACACAAAGGAAATATTGCTGGTTTTGATTGTATTGACCACGCCTGTACATAGATACATGTTGAAAAAAAGGTAGGGCAGTGTGTGTGTGTGTGTGTGTGTGTTTTTTTTTTAAGTTAAAGGCGTTGCCCCCCAGGGGAACTGCGCCAGGGTAGGCTAAGACCATGTAAATTAAGAATAATTTCCTTTGGTTATTCCATAAGATATTCAGAGGAATTATTTTAAATCTAAGAGATGCTCTATATTTGTTGGAGCTGTTTGTATGAATATCGGGGAGGATGGAAAATGTCCATCCAAAAGTACTTATAACAGTTATAGGTTTCCAGCTGAATATATTGTACCTATAATTAATTATTTTCACATGGGCATTTATCTCTGAGATTAATCGAATGAAAAGTTTCAAAAAATAAATGTGCTATCTCATACTCCATTAACACCTGGTCAGTAGCAAGGATGTGGTATGTGGATATTGGGTCCATCCACATCAATGAATAGAGATGTTTTGCAAAGATGCTTTGAAACAATAAAGGCTGGTGAACAGGAACTCTATCTGGTGGTGGGATGCATCAGCTGCTCAGATTTCAGCCTAAGTGAAATACAATGCAATTGTGTTTGTGACCTTGCTTTTTGCACAGTCCTGCCAGTCTACTGCTCTCTCTCTCTCTCTCTTTCTCTCTCTCTCTTCTTCTTCTTCTCTCTCTGACTCATACATATGCATACAGTATTATGTGCAGCATCATTCCTGGACTAGCTCTTTGTCCTCCATGTCTCTTTAATGCAAATATTGTATTCAATTAATCAGCATTTAGGTTTATATGCCTTTTTAAGCATTACACACAAAATGTTAAGGTGTGATATACAAGTGAAGAATAATGAATAACTTCAGTAAATCTTTATACAAAACATCCCCCACCTCCCCCCAAAATGTGGAACAATAAGACAACGATTACATGTTTTTTTATTATGTAGGATTGCCAGTAAATAATCAAGGGTGACGCAGACAGAAGTGTGTTTCTGTACGGCCTTCAAGCTTAGCACTGCTGCCACGTCTAAATTCAGTGGCAAAGCCCCTGAATAATTTATGAGTTGAGGGAGCAGTTGCCCTCAGCCTAGAGTGCCAGACATGTTACCTTAAAGAGATGCTATTGGTGTTTTGTTTCTGTCAGAGAGTAGAGAACAAATTCCAACAATATAGAATCAATATAGAATCAATTTAAACAATAATGTTGTTTGAATATTACATTCAAAGATAACCACCAAATCATAGACTATTCCTCATCTCATTGTCAGTCAAATTAGCTCTTTTTTCAAAACCAGAATGCTAAAACACAGATGGCCAGAATTACATATAAACATTCAGAGGAGGAGAATGATACCAACTGGTAGATGGTAATTCATTGTCATCTCCAACCATGTTTCCTAAAAACCAAAGTCTTAGCTTCAAATATTCTTCTGTATCTTTCTTATCTAAGATTTGATCTTATGTTACTTTAAAAAAATGACTTTTTCTGGACAGTAGCAAAGACCACACTTAAGAGTAGTAGAAAACCTTACACTGCCAGTCGAAGATCAATTTTGTTGCTGTATAATCAGATCTCTTGCTTTAAAGTTTAAATTGTTTCAGCTAAAAGGAGAACTTCACTGGTTGAATGATCACTACCTGGTGCTGTCTAGGATGAGGCAGTGAGAAAAACTTGGAATGGAAGTGGTTTTAAAAGTGTAACCAATGTGTGGTTAGAGAAATCCCCTGGTGATCGTGATCCAGAACTTCTACCTCCAGCACACTGGCCAGCATATTAGGTTGTTGGTGTCCAAATGGTCCATTTTGATTATCACATATTCCACTTTATATGCAACATTATGTTGGGGCCACTGGTTGGCCTGCGTTAACCTTGAGTGCCTCCTACCTTTCTCCTCCCCAGGTGTGTTCGGGCAGGGCGAACCTCCAGGGGTTTTCAATTACTGCAATCAGGAGTTAGTATTTGAAGGGACGTGTTCCCCGAGCCAGTTGGTTAATTTCCATGCAGTTGGTAACTTACCAGTTAGCTCCACAGCTCCATGGAATAGCCTTCGTCCAAGAGAAAACTAAAGCTTTTGTTTTCCTTCAATCCTCAGCGTTTCCTCTAAATCCTCCTTGAATTTTCAAGGATACATCCCTGGATTATTCACCTACCTGTCCACCCTCCGTCACCTTCTGGATCAGGATCTACATTCATCAGAGTCAGTCCTTCGGTCATGACATGTAATATATGTAACATTACCTAATTTTTTCACTTGACATTTTTGGCAGCTACTGGAGGTGCCAGTCTGGCTCGAAAAGATGATTTCGCTGGTTTGCTTTTCTAAATACAGTTTCTAAATACAATACAATCCTATGAGCAAAAAATAAATCCTCCTTAGTTACCCTTTAAGTAAAAGAAGATAAAATTTGAGACATAGATCAGTATTCCGCCTAACATTTATTCTTGAGTCATATGGATAACAAATGGATTGGAAAAGTAGACTTATTAGACACTGTCTATTGGTCTGTTTTTTGTTCACTGTTAACTGCTTGTGTTCAGCTTAAATTTGCTGGGTCCTAACCACACATCTCCGAATTCTTTTGGTAAAACAAAAATGAGACCCCTTGAAACTTTCACATTTCACAGCAGTGAATCAGTAAGGGCCCACATTACAACCAATCATGATAACCAGTCCTTGAAACAAATGCACACAATCTTCACTGGTCCAAAATGCAGGGAAACATTTTTTTTTGCTTGCAGTTGAACAGCGGATCAGTCAAACAAAAGTATAAAAGCATCTATGCATCACTTTAATGCTAAAGTTGTTTGAAGGGGTGATCTGTAGTAATGATTACCATCACCGCACATCCTGGCAGCTGTCTATTAGAAAAGGACCTAAAAGTATGAGTGACTCAGGAGTTGAGGCTGATTTAACTTGAACAAATATGTTTTTTAATTTTATGTCAATAAAAAGAGTAAAAACACAAGTTGGTAAACATACTAAATAAGCCTGTCAGATGTAAACTGACAGCTGTCAGTGGATTCTCATCTGATAATTTCTAACCAAAAAAAGGAAACCAACTTATCTTCATCTGCTGACCACTGCAGCTGTTTTATTCATTCATTGATTAAGATTGAATTTTGTATACCATTGGTTGGTATGCTTCCCTCTGAACCATCACAAAAACCATCAAAAGGATAGTGTTCTAAAATAATTCAACTTAAAGCGAAAATAAATTGCAACTTTTTACTCTGACTGATGGAAAGCAGTTTATTGTTGTTTAGTGAAACAATGGAATGTCATCATCTTAACTTATTACATCAATTAAAAAAAACGTCATGACAAAATCATCTGGTGATGGAGGTATTTGTTACAGCAGGTACAGCAGGTAGGTATCTTACTGATATTTCACCATGACATTACGTTCACTGCACTGCCCGGTTGCATGGCAGTCACCTTAACATTTATCACAATTTACATCCATCACAGCCACAATGGTTTACAAGCAATGCCTTAAGAGGTCAGTGTGAGAAAAACTAAATCTGAGTCCACAACTTTTAACATAAAATGAAAAACAATGTTGAAAGCTTTTGTAATTCACGATGTATGTTATTTAATTATATTGCTTGAAACAGTGTCCATTAATAAAAGATCTGCTGCACTGAAAATTTCATATGTACAGTCGGAAACTGTTTACAAAGGTTTTTAAAATTACGCTCCTGAATGTACTTAATCCAGTAAGATCTTACTTTTGAATTAGCTTGCAAGCCAACACTGGCTATTACAGTAATCAAAACAAAGCAGCCATTACATTGTCTGTAAAAGTAACCATCCTTTTATGTAATAAATAAAGTCGTCACAATGACCAACCTATTCAAAAGCCCCTGTTACCAAAACACTATTAAAACTAGTTAGTAGTAATATATGCTGACATTGAGCAGCACATTTCAAGAGGCAACACTGAAGGTAAGGTATTATAATACCTTCATGTAGATGCAGAAATTTACATGCCAGTACATCTGACATTAGTACAGTCCTAAAGCCACTTTTACCCAGCTGTGCCATACACAGTGCAAAGGCTCAGTGCTGGACTAAAACATTGTTAAGTGTAGCCATGTAATTTGTTATAAATGTACAATGTCCAACTACTTAAACATGACAAACTCACACTGTCCTCGTAATTACTTTGTGACTTGAGGTGTCCAATGATGTGATGTAACTATTCCAATGATGGCTAATTACACTATTAGTTTGCCTGTATATTTCCATTAAAAATGAAAGTGAATTGTACTTTAAAAGTAGATTGAAAGGCCGTTTTTTAAAATAAATTAGGATAGCCCAAGGAGAAAATGCAAGAAGAAATCTTTAGGCAGATGTAACCAGAATTCTTGCACATGACCTCCGATCTTTTTGTACATCCAATTTTTGTATGTGTTTATTTAAATATTTATTGTATTTTTCTCCTCGTCTTGGGAGGTGGCTTTAAATATACTGTGTGCATGCCGCCTTTGGGACTGATGCCTGCAAAAACACATTCCTCAACAGGCCTTATCTGCACAAGTCTGTAATTTTCTCTCTCTACTGTGTCTTTCTGAACGTCTGGGCACAGAAAAGTTGTCTTTCCAGGTTGGATGAATTCAGTTACAAGGGCAGCATGCAGGAGTTTTCTCATCTCTTGTCTAAGGAAACGTAACTAATCATGTTACAGAAGGGAAAAGCACTACTTAAATAAAAAATTGACAGTTAAACAAGTTTCAAACCCATAGAGTCCCTTATAAGTAAATATACAACCAAATATTAGTCTAAATTTTAATAATTACATTAGTAATTATTTTTTACCCTATGTGATGTGATAGAGGATTAAATTTTACGGGTAAGAGTGATTGGGATTTTTTTTTTTTTGTTACACTACTGTGGGAATTGTGATGCTAATAAAAGACACTTTTACTGAGTTACACTTACAGGGACAGTAATCTGGAGATTTGATAAAATACTTCTATTAATTTTGTCCATGGCGGAAGTTTGATTTCAGTTTAATCTCTGTGCATTTACGCAAAGGGGCATAGCTCAAATTGAAGTTTGACTCTACAACATACTAGCTTGGAGGGCAACAGACATTGTATTGTATTAACTGAGATCCAGGTGAGATCTGTCATTTTTATGACCACAAACACTTTGAGTGTGACCTGGTGAACACATGTCGACATCTATGGTTGCAAAAATGCAAAGAGATATAACTTTATTATTAGTCTGAATGGGTACGTTAACAAACACTAAACACTATATATTTGAATTGAAAACAAAAGTCTATTGACCAGGACATCAAATAATGACTTTGAAATGCCATTAACTTTGTGCAAAGCATGAGCCATCAAGGAGGGCTTTACTTCCTTGAGTCACTGTGGCACCACCTCCTTCAGAGAAGCCAGGGCTGCGTGGATACGGACATGAAGGCGATTTTCAAAGTCATAGCCCGTAAAATCATCCTGAAAGATTCATGCGTAAAATGAAAGAAAGAATTATGGAGAAAATGTATCATTTATAATAATTTAAACATGTATTACTTAAAATGCAATCGCAATTTTCAGAGGAATCATTTTTAAGTGCAAAAAATTCAAATCAAATTTATTTTAACTTATATTTAGTAAGCATTGGAAAGAAAGAAAGAAAGAAAGAAAGAAAGAAAGAAAGAAAGAAAGAAAGAAAGAAAGAAAGGAGACTTTTCGAGGACCTACTTTGCAATAAACCAACCTATAATTTTATGTCAGCATAACTAACCTTACCTAAGTAATGTTAACCACTGTTTTGCATTGGGCACTCTTAATTTCCCTCTTCCAATATTTCTTAACTGAGATTACTAAAATTTAAAGTTTTTCAAGTAGAAGTTGTGTGCTTGATCTCTGATTCTGCTCTTCTTTACGTTCTCCTCTGGTCAGCAAGCTGGCCATTCAAGGACACACTTTATTTCTTAGAAGCAATACTGTTGGATGTGGTCTTGCATCAAGCAACAGATAACCAAAAATAACCACAGATCTCTTAGAAATAGATATTCCCTTGACGGTGGTACATGTCATGCTCATCTGTATTCATTCCTTGGCCTTAGAGCAATGAGATTTTCCTAGACCTCCTGAATCTTTGTGTAAAACTATCCATTCTAGATGTTAAAAGTGGTGGGCTCAACCTCAATTAAAAATACTAAAGCATTGGCGGATGCTCCTTGTCTGTCTAAACCTGGCACCCTTTTATACTTGGCAGTGGTAGAATCTTTCAGAATGTAATTCTATGAGACTTATTCCAAATTTATTATGAATGTACTGCTGTGTTCAAAATCTTGACTAACCTAAATTTTGCTTTACTGAAAGAAAAACTGTTAATCTTTGCCATGAATGGCAATAATTCAATTCCTAATCATCTTACCTTGGCTTGAAGAAGGAATGATCTTCCCTTTCCAACCGTCTGAATTGAAGCATAGGAAGTACAACATTTTAACATTAATTTAAAGGTGAGCAATCCCAGTGAAATATTCAACAAATATGTACCAAACAACTGCATCAGAAAGTCGGACTAACCTCTGGTTTTGCAAGAAGTAAACATCCCAGTTCATAGACAGCATATGGCTGAACATAAGAGTTGATCTGTCGTCCATATTCGTCTCTGGCAGCCAGTTGGAATGACTGGATTACAGACAAATTGAAATCGGTGTACAGAATTAGATTATCCAACAGTTTAGAAAAACTACAAAGCAATTGGATGTGCACAGAATAGATAACTACCTGAACTGCATCTCTCATGTTTCCGTGGCATTTATGAATGGAACCGAGAAGGAGATGTTTCAGGCCTCTGCATGAAGCCTCTTCTAACCTCTGCAATACTGAATTAAGACACAGGAAATCATCATACAGGGTAAAGATGACATTGTCATTCATAGGGATGCAGCTAAAATAGTTATTTTCATCAATATCCTGTGGATGGCACTAACCCTGATTCATTATCTGCAGTTTAGAAGAGGAGCAGTTTGGAATTGCTTTCCACAGATAAAGTACTTCAATTACGCCTAGGATACAAAGCTCTCTCGTGGGTGAAACCTTTCTCAATCTCTCAGCCTGCAGATATAAATTGCACAGAGAAAGTAAACTTTTTTGGCAAACTTGAGATTACTTTCAAAAAGGAAAATCGAAAATTACAAGTTTCACCAACCCGTTTAACTGCAAACTGTTCTATCTGATTGTTCTTTCTCTTGAAAAGCTTCTGGACATCTTTAAAAACTCCACTTGCTCCTTCCAGGTCCCCTGAGGCACCCTGACACACTGAAAGGAAACACAAAGGGAATTATTAAGAGCCCAAAGCAAAGGTCCAACAGATTCAGTGTCTAGCACGGATAGGGCTTACCTCCTGTTAAGTAGGCATAATAGCACTGAGACCAGCGTGACTCGTTTTTCAGCCTTTCAAAGGCTCTGAAAGCATCTTCAAAATTCATCTCAATCATGCTACACCAACCTGACACAAAGACAAGAAGACAGGACAAGATGATCACCATGCTGCGGATGGTCAATAAGCCACCACTAACCCTGTGAAAAAGCACATACCAATCTCATAGAGACAAACATGCTGGATCTCTCTTTGGTCTGATGCAAGTTCTAATGCATCATGGAAACAGGCCAAAGCACTGTTGATATGGCACTGGGGACAGGAGAGAAAGCACACACTGACAGCTAACGACGATCATGTTAGACATGGACTACATGCATGTTTTGAATGAGGGAATTAGATCAGTAGATGGTTGTTCAGACATACTGTATGTGATTCATGTAGTTGGTGACATACAGATTAAAGATTAAACATGAGCCGCTGTGCCAGTTGATGCAGATTTTTTTCAGGTTCTACTTTTTGGTATGTTTTTTCGAAATTAACAAAAAATGGTGAGGTGTCAACAGAGTTTGGCTTCAATGTCACAAATGATCAACACTTTCTCCATGCATGCTGAACTTGCCTCTAGCCTTTGCACTCGTCCTTTAAAGAACATGAAGAGGGACGAGTTGGGGTAAACAACTGACTTTCTCTGCAGAATAGCTTTGGCCTCCAGAAGCCCTGCCTGTGTGTCAGAGCCTTCCAGAGCAAAGAACGGCAGCACTACTGTGTGGTACCACAAGAGGGCCAACCTGAGCAACAGAAAAAAGATGTTTACTACAGTTTTTATTTTTGCTGGGCTCATTATCTGTTCATACCTGTGTCCACTATGACGTTATCAGTTTTATTCACTTTCATCATTTCTTTGAAAATTATATTGAACAGAGCATTAATATGACATTGATCGGCAATCTATTACTTCTCATAAGAGAAAAAAACAAACATTGCCAGTCACGTTACTGATTTGTTGCCAATTAAACTAATGATATAGTTACCCATAAACTTGGAACCTTTTTTTTCAGACACATTCCTCTGACTCATATACATCAGTAATTATGTGTTAAGAGATCAATTAGTAAGGTGTAGTCATGAGATGATATACACTTATAAAAATACTTTATTCCAATCATTTTCAATGTCCTGTCATCAAATGCAAGATGAAATGTTATTTTGAATGAAATGCGTCAGTGCTAATATTTAATCTATTATATTCTAGTAAAACTTTTGGTTTGTATCTCTAATCACAAAAGAAACATATATACCATGTATGGCTGATTTATGCCAAAATCAATATGGTTACATTTAGTATAGATGAATTCAAGGAGCATCTGAAGTAAGTCAAGACTTAGAAATTACAAGATATGAGCCTACTCACGTAGCTAGTGGTGCTTTCATGTCCTTGCTCTCACTGGCATACATGAGGGAGGACAGACCTTGGAGTCGGTCCCCGGGGAAACCGAGCAGGTTGATGATTTTGAGCAGATGTGGTGGCACCATGGATATGCACAGGTGGAAGAGGCCATAGCCGAAGCTGACAGAGCCCTTGAGTCGGTCCAGAGCCTCAGCTGTCACACCATTCTCCACAGGAACATTGTGGTTGGCGTTGTCTACTGAGAGGGCCTCTTGGTTGCCTGAAGACCTTCGCTGACAGGTTTCCTGGAGCTGACTGATGTCACTGTGGCATTTATTGTACATCTTCCATGCTTTGCGGAGAATCCAACCTCCTTTTATATATGCTGTTCATGGAAAAAGAGGCAACAGATTATATGTAAACCATTGTTTAACATTGTCATGCTATTTATACTACTAGTCACACTGCGGTAGGTTCATCTAGGTTCGTTTTTTTGTCATTTCCAGTTTTATTTCGAAATAACTCCTTTCGTTAGAAGTCACTTCCCCTTTCTCATGCGTCACCAGTGCGATTTCCTTCCCTCATTCCTGTTTGTGTTCACCTTTTCCTCACTTCACTTTATATGTACTTATAGTCTACATCTCCCTTTGTCCTGTGCCAGTATTTTCATTTTTGAATTCCCAAAGTCTTGATAATCAAAGTCATTTGTGGTCTGCTCTGTTTTTACTCCAGGAGAGTGATTTTGATTAGTCAGTTTTGTAAGAGTAGATATAAGTTAAAAGATTATATTTTCTTAACATCATTGTTTTCTTTTTATTGTGGAGTGGTCATTATTTGATTTTTTAAAAAAGATTTTTTTGTAGTTGTTAGAAGTGTGTTAGAAATAACTTTAATAGCCTTTTTTAATTTCTCTTTCTTGCATCCCTGCATCTGCGTCCTATGTCCAGCCTGGTCGTGACAGTACAAACTAGCCAGTATGGACACAGCAAGGCTTTAGTTTCTCAGGGAGCTTGCCTCTCCCGTAAGGAGCAGATCGCCACACTATGTTAGGCAGTCAAAGGTCTGTCCCGTAGCCAAGACGATTTCAAGGCTGCCGTTATTTCCCAGATGGGGGCCTCACTGATCGGACTCAGCAGCTTCTCAGTTGGCCTGAGAGGATGGATGCAGTACCCACCGCACCAGAGCCCTATCTTCTCCTGCACCAGAGCTGGACTTGAGCTTGCATCCCCTGAGCAACATTTAGGAGATTTTGGACGATGAAAGCCAATTCTCATAGACAGTGACATGCATTTTAAACTTTCATCTCACCAATTCCTCACAAACCACATAATTTCCCACCTGATGGGAAGGGTGAAGGCGTGGGAAATTGGATCCCTACCCTGCAAGTCCATTCAGCATTTTAAGGAAGGCCTCTGGAAGACTTTCGACCCGATTTCTACACGAGACAGGACAAGGCAAGGGAGCTGAATGGGCTGAGGAAAGGACGAGGTGACTATGGCATTTGCTTTCAGACCTTGGTGGTGGAGAGTGGTTAAAACACCATGGCTCTCTACCACATCTTCCTAAAAGGGTTGGCTGCCCCCATCCAAGAGCGACTCCAGCCTATGGACCTGGACTCCCTGACACCTTTAGTTATCCGAACGGTTAGCCGTCTTCGGCAATTAAAAATCCTCCAAGAAGGACACCAGCTGTCACCAGACCACCCACAGCAAATCTCGCCTTCTCCAGGTGGATTCCCTACTGGTCCTCACCAGATCAGGGCCGTGTTTCTCCTCCTGCTAGGGGTGAGGAACCTATGCAGTTGGACAACAACCAGCTCATCCAGGAGGAATGACAGCGCTGCTTCAAGGAGGGACTGTGCTTCTACTGTGGGTAACCTGATCATCTGGTAGCTGCCTGCCCGGCCAAGACAGCTTGGTTAAGTAACAGATCCACAACCTCAGGTTCTCCTACATGTAGTTTGCCCTCCATCAAGATGAAACACAACACCACAGTTATAGCATGGATGTTTTAATTGACTTAATTGTGAGTTTAATGGATTGGGGAATAGCCACAACACGTCAAAGGTAGTGCCTTGAATGGAAAGGCAATGTTCACCATTACAAATGTCACAGAGCCTGCAGGTCTTTCCATTAACAACCACACTGAAATGATTAACTTTTTCCTGTTTCACTTACCGGCTTGCACACTAATACTGGGATATCCATGGCTTGTCAGCCACAACCCCCACACAGGCTGGCCTATAGGCAAAATCATGGGATGAGGAAAATGCTGCAAAGGGAAGTGTCTGAGGGATAAACCTCATTAAAGAGCTACCACCTTAATCAATACTGTTTCTGCTCACCCTATCACAGAGCCCCAGTACCCGGAACCAACCTCCATTCCCATCTGCTACCACCATTTCAAGCAGGTTTTTTCACTAAGTCAACCTTCCACCGCATTGACCATATGACTGCACCATCAAGCTCATCCACGGTTCCACCATTCCTAAAGGGCGCCTGCTGTCATTATCAAGACCTGAACACCAAGCCATGATGGAATATTTCGAGTCAGCATAGAAGGCGGGGCTCATCCGCCCATCTTTGCAACCTGCCGGAGCTGGATTCTTGAATAAATGGGTCCTTGAGACCATGTATTGATTACAGCCCCCTCAATGACATTACTATTAAGGATTGCTATCCACTTCCTTCAATTTCGTCTGTGTTTGATTAGCTTCAGCAGGCCACAATGTTTACTAAGCTGGGCTTGTGGAACGCCTACCATCTTGTTCGAATCAGGGAGTGGGATGAGTGGAACCCAAACCAGTCAATAAGAGTATCTGGTCATGCCCTTTGGACTCACATGATCAATAACGTGCTCAGAGATATTCTTGACCTTTTCATTTATGTTTACCTCAATGACATATCAATTGACTAACCAGACCTGGAAACTAAAGACATGTCGGAACAGACACTCTGTCACACATCTACAAACCTGAACCCTTTTGCCAGTGCTGGAACGAGGCACCCTGCAGGTCACGCATGGGACTGCTGCAATCCAAACCCCCCAGACTGAGTTTGGACAGTTCAATGGATTTCGTCACGAAGTTCCCAGTTTTAAATGGTACCACCACAGTCCTAATATGGTGGATTGTCAGTCACACTGTGCATAGGTCATCTGGGTTTGTTTTATTGTGTACAGTTTACTTGTCATTTCATAATTAGAATGTCAGGCTTAAAAATTGATTCAATATTTCTGCCTAACCATATTTCAACGTTGATTCACTGATACTTTGTTACCTGGGTAAAGATATGCATATGCAAAGACAGGACTTAAATTCAAATAAATACTACTGGTGAAAGGAAAAGGTAAATCAAACTTCAACTGGGAAAAAAAACAACTGGAAAAACTTGGAAATAAAGAATGAGAAGTGGAAAGTAATGTGGAAAATAAATGGAAAAGGATATATTAATAAGGAGAAAGAGTTGTACAAATGCATAAAGGACACAAGAAACATAAAGAAAATTAGAAAAGCTGACAAAAAAGAGGCAAAAGGAGCTCAAAAAGAGGAAAAGAGAGCAAAAAGAGCTGTAAAAGGAACAAAAATAAGAAAATAAAGAAAATATAGAGATGAAGGAAGCGAAGAAGACCAACAGCCTTCTTAAATGTAATAAATATGTACACATTTCCCTTGCTCCAACTTCTTTCTGTTTTCTCTCCTATCTATCCATACGAAGAGCCCCTATATGTTTAACCACTGTCCTGCCCCTCTCCTCTCTCACTCCTTCTTAACCCCATCAGCATATCTCATAACCTCTGCTTCCATGTCATTCCTCCCATGCCTCACCTATTATTCACTTCTCCCCTCACTCTCACACTTCTCACAGCTTACTTCCAACCACACTACTTCAAATAGAGTGAGCAAACTAATTTTGAGGGAAAACGGAAAGAGCTTCAACACTTAACGACATTTAAAACTTGTGGCTATCCCAACTGGGCTTTTGTTAAATCAACTAAGACCTAACAAGACTGTCCAAAACAAAGGAAGAACAGTAGAAGACACACAATGCCATATATGACAGTGTCCACAAAACTCATACCAGACCAAAGAACATAAACATAAAAAACCCTTAAACAGAGATTTGTTCACCGAAAAGAAAACCACACACAACACCATTGTAAATGCAGAACAATGCAACAAAGAGTGTGAAGATCTCTCCATAAGAATGACCAACAACAGCTCCACGAGTGCAGAGTACTGCATAGAAAAGAAAGAACTTCAAGCCAAAACGCGGCAAGTCACATCCATCCATCCATTTTTACCTAGGAACGTTTTTGGATTTTTTTCTCTATAAACTGGATGTATTTGAAACTCATTGAACTTGAACTGATTGTATTGAGTTTGTCTTACAACTTGATGTTGGTGTAGACACACACAATAATATACACATTCTAGACCAGGGGTGAACAACACTGATCCTCAAGGGCAGGTTGTAGAGATATTCCTGCTACAACACACCTGATTCACCTGATTCTCAATCAAAATTTTATCAGAATAGCTGATGTTGAGTTCATGTGAATCAGATGTGGTGAAGCAGGAAAACCTCTAAAACTTGCAGGACAGCGGCCCTCGATGCCTGGAGTAGCCCACCTCTGTTTTAGACAGAGAAGACACATGGTCTACTGAAGTTGCTTTCTTTACCTGAGCTCATTGGTGAGAAAGAACTTAGGAAATTGAACACTAAATGACAACCATAATCCAGCATTCTTCCTCCATCACCCAGCCAATTCCAACACCATACAGAGGTAATGAAAGCATGAAAAATGTTATTAAAGTGCTTAGGGAATAAAGTAGGGATTTTGGTTTGTTTTCCCTACAAAGCTAATCTATAAGATTGAGGATAACAATCACTGATAAATATATTACAAAACCACGTGGGTTGTAATAATTCCAAAATAATCAGCTCAAATGTTACAGTCCAGTAGGAGGAAATTTATAAAGAAATTAAATCAACTGACTTTGTGTAGCCCTAGAAGTAGTGAAAGCAACCAACAAACACAAGAATCCAGGGATTTTTCTCCTTTTACTAACCATTAAAAACCTGATCTAAGCAAAAGATATGAGAGAAATTTTAATATTTTTTGTCTTTATTTGGCCTTTTAAGAAAAAATGAAAAAATAATTTTCATAATTTGTTACCTTGTGATAAGTCAAAATAGTAATATTCTGCCCGCTATTATCAGGTATATCTTATTGTGTACAGCAGAGATTTGAGCAAAGTCTATACCGTTAAATGATGCAAAAATTTCAGATGCTAAACATTTCAGAAACTCCATATGTATCATATATTGTACATTTGACATTTTAGAGTTAATTTCAAATATATTTTTCTATACATTTTTCTATATTTTCTATGTCTTAGTAGTTTCCAAAAATAGTCAGAGGTATTGTGAATTTTGCTTGAAAATTGGGTTTTGCATTTATAGATTTGAGAGAAGAGTGACACATTAAAAATCTGTTTTAAAAATTATTACAATCTGTAATGCAAGTGAAATGAGAACTCAAGACAAATCATTATGACCTATTTTAGGAGGCTGTTTTATGCCTATATTAGAATGCCGCATGAGAATCATAAGACCCACGATGATTAAGGGCACTGTCAAGTCTGAAAAAATAAATAAATAAAATGACCAGATACTTAAAAAGGTCAGATCATTTAAAAAATGTAGATAAAGTCAAATTATTTCCATACCACAACTTAAAACTTTTTCCGAAACGTCTGCATAGTTTGAAAATGAATTAGTTTTAAATTGTCATAAGTTGTATAAGAGACACAAATATAGTAGAAGATAGAAACAATAATGTCTGACAACATTATTCTACAATTTAGCTCACAATAATGCTTGTCCAGGGAAGTATATCTTATTACCTGAGAGTTCCTGTTTGACGAATGACAGGACAGCAAGGTACACTTGGCAGTCAGCAATAATGATCTGTCTCTGTAGACGGTCCACAACTACAACGCCTGACCTTTGAGAGTCCATCTGTGACACGCACACAAACACAGATGTACAGTCAGAAGTTTGGATTTTTGGCTAGTTTACTCCATAGTTGGTATCAAGAGGGTAAAAGAGTGTCCTGAAATATCTGAAGCAGTGAGGCGATTCAGACTACTCTGAAATTCAATTAAAGTACTGTTTTAAAACTAGTCAGTCACAAGTACTCAACTTTAAGAGAAGCCTCCAACAATCCATTTCTCTACCCCCTACATTTCTGCACTTACGCTCTTTTTGATCTTGTTTCTGATTGTCTCTAGCACTCCAGCGCTGTCGCTTTCACACAGTTTCTCGGTGGTCCTTAGGTCATCGCAGGCCATCTGCATCTTCTCCTCCTCAAATGTCATCATGGCATTCTGGTGTAAAATACAAACTGGTTCATTTTTGTGCAGTGAATCGAAATGGTAAGATAACTGATCTCATAGTGTATTGATATCTTGTAGTTTAAAAAGAACATCACAATTTGTTTCACACACACCTCATGCAGTTTGCTCACTATCGGGACATGATTCGCTTGGTCTGAATACTCAATCATGTGGATAAGAGGAGCCAAACTTGACTGCCAGCTTATCCAACAGACTTCTCTAATACCTGACCCCTGGCCTCCAGCCTGAAAATACTGCATAATATCATTCTGAATTTAAAATATCTTGTTACTCTTTACAGATTTGTGTTTGAGCTAACCCCTGATCTTGTAATAAAGCGAAGGAGGCTTATGTAATGGACTAAGCAGGAAAGGACAAAGGGTTCTTTATGCATAACATCGAATGGAGTAACACGGTGATATCTGCGCAGCTATGTGTGAGGTTGAAAACTGCTCACACCCCGAGTGAACCAGAAAATCTGTGCTCTAACAAATCAAGGATCACTTTAAATTGAGACATCACACAAATAAAAGGGAGGAATACAAGAAAAAAGCTAGAGATAGTCTAGACATAGTATTTCTTATTTTACATTAACTCATCTCATTTTGCTTTTAAGTATCACAGAGTGTGTATAAATGCCTGATTTAATGTTCAAAAGTCACCATCTCCACCACTCTCAGGTTAATTTAAAATCTGGAGACAGAGGATCACATCATATCAGGTTTTTAAGTGTTGACATGAAGGGAAGTGAGGGGCATATGACTTTTTATGAAGCCAGCATTTTGACAAATCTCACTTTCTTATCATTGACGGACATGCACATCTCAGTAACATGCTTCTCCGTGAGTAATGCATGTTCTTAGGAGGAAGATGCATCCATTATGTTAATGGGGGGGCATAACCAGGGAAATGGTGCCTGGGCTGACCGTGATGCAATCTATTTGACATATTTGGTTGTCTCTGGTCTCTACATTTGGATACTTCCCCTGCAAATAGCATTGGGTTGAATATTGGGTCCCATTCTGCTCTTAATTTCCCTGATTTCCACTCCCCTCTGGAAATATAATGAATTACTATCAACTCACCAGGAAACTGACAAAGCTGGCGCCAAAACTCATCAGTGGGCTCTGTGTCCTACAGAGAAGAGAGCAATTAACAATAGCAGTTTGTTCAACATGCAAGAAAGATGGTGGGAAATTAGCTTGACTTTTATTACAAAGCTAAGACAAAAGGATGGAAATATAAAAGAAAAAACATTCTTTGCACTTTTTATGGCACTTTTATTGCATCTGCATAATTTGCCTTGAAATTGAGTCCTGGTGCAAACCTCAATGACACACATTTGTGTTTGCTGGTGGGAGGCAAATCTATTATTTTTGTGACACGTGAGCATCAGGTGCTCGGCACAGTGGTCTGGAACATGTTGTACTCCTGCATAAACTGCACTTTTTCTGGAAATTTCAAATATCTTTCGTGATCTGATATTGTGGAATCCAGCAGTTACCTGTATCGCTTAAACAGCTCATCGCTTTCCTTGAATCCGTTGTTCAGCAGCATGTTGATCCCTCGCAGAGCCATCTCAGCATCATCTATGGGCTCTTCCCTCTCCTCTACCTGCTGCTGATGCTGCCGAGACTGCTCGGGACCCGCCATTGCTCACACTACAGCTCGTCGGCTGTTGGCTTAAACTGGCGCAATTGAGAGCAAAATACGATCCTGCATCCACTCCGAAACAAACCCGCATTGGTTTCTGTGCACGGATGCTAGCGGCAATCCAAACAGGGAGGCGCCTTTGGACAGGCGACGAAAAAAAAAAGATGTGACGCTTTCTCAGGCTCCAGAATCCGGCTCCTCTAAGGCCACAGATTCCCAGACTGGCGCTGCACGGCGACCGTCGATTGCATTGCACGCTCCCTCATAAACCTGCAGGTTTATTCATTACCGGATCAACCATTCCCTCTGGTTTTTTGCCTGTTAATCGGATCCACGCAGCAGCATCCTCTGCGTTACATAACGCGACGCGCTCGGCAAACGGCTTTGCGTCATAACGCAGAGCGCACAGCCGGGAGGATGGAGAGGTGAGGGCCCTGCTTCTGCGCCGCTGAATCCAGTCAGCGCCCGTTCCTCTGACTCCCTCTGCATCAGCAGCGTTCTCTTCCTCCTCCTCCTCTTCCTCCTCCTCCGATATACGTCACGCAGAGCAACCGGGAGTCACACAGACGTAGCTGGGCAAGTGAGGATGGGTACTTCACAAACTTCGGCTAAAAAATGAACTAGCCATCACCAGAAAGGAGACACTTCTCAATATAAATGTAAATTGTGAAATGAAAAAGTGATAAAAGATCCAGATTTTATAATAATATTATAAAAGCATATTCATTAACAGGGCTGTTAATGAAAGGGGCTGTGTGAAATTGAAATTCAATGTAGTCACATAAAACAACTAAATGAAAAAAAGATAAAAATGTATAGAACAAAAATGTTGTTTTTTTTAAATTAGGAAAGCAAACAATAAAATCTGGGATCCCTCCATGATGTAAAAGGATTTTGGGTGTGAATCAGATGTTTTAGAGGGAGCTCATTAAAATAGATAAAACTGCCTTTGTCTGAAAATATCTCCTCCATTGAACAATCTAGATTTCAGTGAAATTATCCACATTGTTAACAACTTTAAAGTAAAATCTAAAAGCTTTTTTGCTTAACCATAATCTGTGAATTCTCAGCAGCAAATCTAATTGTCATGACAAATATTTTACAGTTATGACACCCACAGACTATGAAGTCTTGGGGTACAACAAGTTCCATATTATGCATAGATTCTGAACATGAGAGCTGTTCATAATCAAGAAGTGCGCTCAAGATTCATTGCAGTGTGATTAGCATTATTTTAACAACAAAGGAAAGATATGGTTTTATAGTGGAACAATCACCAGAGTGCGACAGTTTCTTACAGTGTGAAGAATTCTAATTTCTTCCGATTACGACTGGCGCCTGATCATTTCTTAGGATTCTACTCAGAGACACATGCTAGAGCATGTTAGAAATACTGGTATGTGAACCAGCATTTCGCAAGGCCTAAAAAAAAAAAAAGAAAAAGTCAACAAACGCTTATCCTTTGACCTGACAGAGGGAGGTGGTGCCTCCGATCTCGGCCTCTGTTCAGCCAAGATTATATCTGTAGTGTAGTGACAGAGTTAATAGATTCTTTGTTACGCTCTAATACTCAATAATAACAGAAATGGAGCTTGGAATGTCGGTTAGTGTTATTAGAAGTAAGAGGGTAGTGGTTGGTAATGAAGTGCGTCCTGCTGTCATTGTCCTTAAAGAGGGTAAAATACAACAAATACTCTTCCCAAGCAGCTTTACTGAGGATGTTGGCTGTGAGGTAAGTCTATTCTTGCTGTGTTTCTTACCAGTGTGTAAAATGAAATCAGTGCATTAGCTAGATTTTTGCTTCTTGTCTGGATTTTTGCTTCTTGTCTGGAATCAATTATTCTCAATCAACAATCTTTTTTTATTGAATTTTCAGTGATATTCCTGAATCAATTTCTAATACAGGTGTTAGATGTGGGTGAAAGCGTGGTGATGCCAGGTATCGTAGATTGTCATGTTCATGTAAATGAACCGGGACGTACCTCTTGGGAGGGCTTCTGGACTGCCACGAGGGCTGCTGCAGCTGGAGGTGTGACGACAATCGTGGACATGCCCCTGTAAGTTGGAGACCATCGCTTTAAAAAAAAAATCCCATTCAAATGCTTATTGAGCTCTGCCGTATAACTTCTTTTGGAATAAATCATACATTTTTTCCATTTAATTAAATTTTGTATATCTAATTAATTTCTTTAAATTGAATTGAACATTGTGAGAACAATTTTGTGTTAATATTCCCACAGAAACTCTATCCCACCAACCACGACACTTGAAAATTTTCACGAGAAGCTAAAAGAAGCAACGGGGAAGTGTTTTGTCGATACAGCCTTCTGGGGAGGTGTGATCCCTGGAAATCAGGTAAAATCAAAGATATATGATACTATCTACATTATTGCTTTTTGGTTGTTGTTTTTTTTTCCCACACAGGCCCCAGTAAAAATTTTGCATTCTTCCAGCTGGAGCTTCGGCCCATGATCCAGGCCGGTGTGGCTGGTTTCAAGTGTTTCCTCATCCATAGCGGTGTTGATGAATTCCCCCATGTGACGGATTGTGATCTCCACACAGCTATGAAGCAACTACAAGGCACAGGAAGTGTCCTCCTGGTAACTCACAAAAAGATCTCCCACAAAAATTCTTCCACAGCATTAAAAACCCAGAAATGATTAACAACTTCAGGAAATAAACACTGGAATAAAGAGATCAAAGATCAATTAAAAAGGAATGGAACCTTTCTTATCATTTCTTTTTTCGTAATATATATCTCTTACATCTCATAGCTATGGAAGAGCCTCTTGCAACAGATAAACAGAAAAAAAGGGATAGTTGCTGCATCTTCTAACAACACAGATATTTTAGTAGCTATCAAAGACATCCAATAATAGACCATAGCTGGTATTATTTTGCACAGACATTTTAAGCTTTACAACTGGACCTGGTTACCTGCAGTTCATTCAAAGATTCTGCTGGATCCATTTCAGTACCATTATCTCCTCGTCATACCTGTCATACAATCATAATCAAAACTTAATGTAGCTAAGGACATCAACAAGTATGAACAAGCCAAAATGGGAAAAAAAATCCTTTTAACAAGCAGAACCAGACAGATGGGCTGCCATCTATCTTGACCATCAGAGGTTCAAGAAAAGTGATAATAAAGATGACAGGTTTTCAAGATGCTTACTGAAAGCAAAATATAAGTTAACAACAGTAACAACAATGTTTTCATGTTTGTGAAGAGTAAAGAGAGCAGAATGAGGAGAGGTGTGTCATTGGAGGTCCCTGGCAGTCTATAGCTGCATGAGTACTTGATCTTTCAGAGTTGCTTGATCAATTTCGTACAATTAAGTTTGATAAAAAATGAAGGGTTTAAGCCTGACCTATAAGATAAAGAGCGTGTATGTTTCTATGGCGTATACTTGCAACAGAGGAACTATAGGTGAAAGTGTCAAGGAACTCTCAACTGCTCCCACCTGAACCATTTTTAAATATATATTATAGGTTCAAATTGCTGGACTGGATGTACATGAACTAATTGAATAAGGTTAAAGAAAAAAAAACAAGAAATCTCTTGGCTCTTACAATCTCCAATTAAAATGAGGTGAAAGTACATTGGAAAAATCACTGCACATTATTTTTCTTTTTAATTTTATAGAAAAATATTGAGTTTCTTTTTCTTTTCCAGTTTCATGCAGAGAGGGATGTTCATCAAACAACAGAGGACACTGGTGGTAATATTCTAACATTGTTTAATAATAGCTAAAAATCAGGAAAGACTTACCATCTAGTCCGACACTGTGACTTTTTGACTGAATTCTATAATTATTTAAAGTGCTGTTTAAACTTTTTTTGGTTTGATTCTAAAACAAAAGGACAAAACTGTGATTTGTGTGATATAGTTCTGACATACTGCAACTACTTTACAAAACAATTAAAGAGGGATTCAAAAAGACAAGATTAAAGTAGTTTTTTGTTGCAACTGACCTCAATTTTTATTCCTCTTCCTATGTTAGACCCTTCACACTACTCTACCTTTCTGCAGTCCAGACCAGATGTCATGGAGATAGAGGCCATTCGCATGGTCACAGAACTTTGTCTGCAGTACCGGTAAGAACAGGAAGCCAGTGCATCCTCACACAAGAAACAGCTGAAATGTATATTTTAAGGATTTTACAGTAAGACCTACTTTTCTTTGCTTAAGGGTCCGATGCCATATTGTTCACTTGTCTTCTGCAAAACCACTGAAACTGATCAACGACGCCCGGCAGGCTGGGGCCCCTCTGACAGTGGAAACTACCCACCATTACCTCAGTCTTTGTGCAGAAAACATACCTGAAGGAGCCACACAGTTTAAGTGTTGTCCTCCAATCCGAGGCTTTGCTAACCAAGTAAACAGTCTACAATGAATCATGGATACTAAGATATCGTAGGACAACATAAAACAACACAACAATGTATTTGGCCTCTGCTTACTACCTGTTTTTTCCCCATTTCCCTCCAGGAGCAGTTATGGTCTGCATTGAAAGCTGGACAGATTGACATGGTGGTATCTGACCACTCTCCCTGCACACCTGATCTTAAGAAACTGGACAGCGGCGACTTCACACAGGCTTGGGGAGGCATTTCATCACTGCAGTTTGGTACTGTCTTTATCGCATTTTCTGACAACAAAAGTGAATTATTTTTTTAAAAATCTAACTTTAAACTCAAATTATTGGGATTTTGGTGGTTTTATTCATGTCACATTGAAACTAGCTCCCTACCAAAGGGCATTGCCAATGTAATTTGCCATTTACTAGGGTGTCTAATTACTTTGTACAATGCATATCAATATTTGCAGAAATGTCCCAGTGTTTTACTAAGTGATAAGAAATGTTCCTAAATTTCCTTGTTTAACATTTATCCATGTGATGCCAACCTCCAAAAATAATTGACCTAATCTGAACTATGATGTGGAGAAAAAAAACAAAAAAAAAAAAACATTTGCCCATTACAAAAAAAGTTAAGTTGCCATTACATGTTGCCAGTTTTTACCATGAACTAATATGCAAAACAACTTCCCAATATGCCCTGCAATCTAAAATCCTACAAACATTGTCTCCAACATGTTATTCCCACCTCCTTAATAGAGCCCCTGGGAACCTTAAAAGAGTGTTCAGGTCTGGGTGGACTCGCCCAAACAGAAAACAGTAGAGGTAAAAAATGCTACAATTCATAATTTACAGAGAAATATTACAAGTAGTTGTTCGTTTTACCAAAGATCCTGTTCTTCCACACAGTACCAGCTTTCAGTGCCAGCTGAAAAAGCAATATCATAATATTATGTGTGTATATATATATATATAATATAAAATATATATCAAATAATTTGTTATTCATTTCTTACCCTGATGTGCATATTCCAATACAACTTGGCAAATATTCTAAAAGTAATGAAGCTCCTTCGTTACACAGCTGTTGAAAAATGTATTCTGCCTTAAACATGAACCACAAATCAGACCCAACTTTCCTTAAATTGGCAAATGGTGAAAGTTAAATATTTGTGATTCAGACTAACCCTGCTTGCAAGAGAAAAATTATAAGTTAGTGTCGCACAAAGTTTGAAGGTTTTGCAAACTCATGCATTAGAGATTGGGACTGAGCACTGCATTTCAAGACAGTTTTGGAAAATTGTGTTTCTCCGGTTGAAAAAGTGTGTATGAGGCATAGACATGAATGAAAACAATATAAAGACTCCAAGGACCCCTTCAGAATCCACAGACAATATTTTCAAAATACATATTGTTGTTCCCAAAATTGTCACTGTACTGTATGTTACTGGCTCAAATCAAGCATAGATATTTTGCAATGCGTCACAAGGCCATTCTTATTATCCAACTTGGCTTTTGTTACATTTGCAAAATTGTCTGAAAGATCATCAGGGTTAAATGTTTACTGAATCTGGAATGAGAATCTGATTGGATTAAAAATGCAATTCATTCTGCTGACACTAGATCTAGTAATGCTTTCCACTGACATATACTTGTACTGCTTGTGGTACAGGTTTTCATTTTCTGTCCTACTGGCACCCAGCAATGTATATTTGTATTGTGTTCATCCAATGAAACAGGACAATGGAGGAAGAGCAAATAAAAAAGTCAACAGCAAAACAGGGGTTATTCTTGTAGACCACTCTGTCTTTTTAAATAACACTGTGAAACTCTTGTCCCTTTTAGAGAAGCAAAATACATTGCATTGCTTGGTCTCAGGAGGCCATGGCATTTGTGACTGTGTGCATGGTGTGATGTGCAGCTCAACAACTAGAGACTGTGAATGATATGTTCTGCTTTGTAGAAGAACCTATCTGCTCATATGGTTCATGTTATCAACCTCTTTCTTCACCATCACCGTTTTGACAATCAGTGACAGAGGACAAAGTCCTCAGTGTGGTAAACAACAGTTGAGCGTCAATCTAAAGCAATCATTCACTATTTGCCTGTGAGAGAGTGGTATTTTGACTGTTTTTCAGGCTTGCCTCTGTTCTGGAGTTCAGCCAGAGAGAGGGGTTTTCTGCTACCTGATGTTGTGAGGCTCCTCAGCCAAAATACTGCCCAACTGTGTAGCCTTGGAAACAGGAAGGGTAGTCTCGCCCCCGGCTTTGATGCAGATTTGGTCATATGGGATCCAGACAGAGATTTTGAGGTTGGTAGAAGAAATCTATACCTTTAGAAGTCATCAATGACTTAATCAGACATCTTCTTCTTTGTTACATTTCTCAGATTGACGAAGAAAGCATACATCATAAAAACAAGGTACGTGAAATCATCAAGGAAAAATGTAAAATAGTGTTTATTTTTTTCATGATTGACTTAATGACTGTGTTTATGCAGCTGACTCCTTACTTCGGTCACAAACTGAAAGGAGTGGTACGGGCCACCATCCTGAGGGGACGGCTAGTGTACAGAGATGGGAACTTCAGTCAGGAGCCTTTGGGGACGCATCTTCTCATCCCCCAAAGGGCAAATCAAGTCCAACTCTAAAGCAATATAACAGGCTAGAACAGTAAAACTCCAAATTTACTCTATAATATTCCAAATTTGTCTGAAATCCAATAATATTGTCATTGCATATTTTATTTTATTTTCAAGAACTTAATAAAAGCTTAAGTAATTGTGATTTATTTGTCTATACTTTCTGTATTCCAAAGTCCAAAAAATTATTTCAACTGACCAACATACAGTATCTAAAAAAAAACAGCAACTGTTGATATCATATTTGATGTCAATGGTGGCTATTTTTTTTACACAACAACACACAAAGGGAAGGATATAAAGTGATCTTGGGGGCACAATAAATTCTCATCCAACACTTTCTGGGGGCTTAAGGGTCACATGTGTCCAATACTTTAAACCAAGCATGACCTGTATAATGAAATTTCCCCACACTCTCTGAATCTTTTCATTACATTATGCACTATATATGTTGAAAGAATATTATTGTTTTCAACTTTTTATACCCAATCCTGACATCCTGACCTGTCAATAATTAATCTTCTGTAGAGACAAGCTTTCTGAATGTTGTTGCTTATACATTTTGTAGATTTCTTTCCCATTCTACTTTCACACATTGTTTAAGGAAGACACTGAAAGAGACTGAAATGTGATAATATTTACAAAATACATCAAATCCAGTCAGATATTGAAAATAATATCCTTGGACTTCCTTGTAAAACAATGATCCTTAAGGATAATGTTTTTTCAGGATAGAGAAACTATTTGAGATCTTTTCCTATCACTTACTGCAACCATATATGGGCACACTTTATTTGTAACCCTTTCCTGGTCCGTTCCATTCAATTCAATTTTATTTATTTTTATATAGCGCCACATCACAACAACAGTTGTATCACAGCGCTTTCCAAACAGAGCAGGTCAGACCCTACTCCGAAGTTAATTTCAGAAACCCAACACCAACCCAACCCGTTGACAGCATCTTCTGTTACGCTGACCAAAATGATATGGTCAGCTTCCCTTATGAGTTGGCTGAATGCCAGACATAGATGATATACAACCTCGACACCTGTTTCTCTGCACTATGCTGACAAAGACACGAACCTTTAAACATAAATATAGTTTTAAGACATGATAAATCAAACAAACCTTCTGTATTACTAAATAAAACTGAATTGTATTGAGCAGACAAATAATTGTTGCTTGGAAGAAAACACAGCAGTTCAACGGGTACGTCTGATACTCTTGAGAGCACTTTGTCAATTATTAACCTTTGAGGACAGGCAAAAGGACCTGTTAGTCTTTTTTTTTTTTTTAAGGGGGAAATGTCAAGCTACCTTTCATCAGTATGCACACAGAGGAACAGAGTGTTGACAGAGTAGAATAGAGATAAAAACAGAAAATACGACAGTACCCTGATCTGAGGACCTCACTGGTCAAACAGAGGGGCGGTCCAGCTGAGGGTGTTACTTTTCTTTTCTCCTTAGCTCTTGCGGCCTTTACTTTCCTTGCGATTGAGAACATGTCACCCATCTCCATACCACCACCGAAATGCCTGCAGAAACCAATGGTGATTCCCCATCGTCACATGTTTGGACCAGGACCATCCAATGTTCCTGCGCGCATCCTGGAAGCTGGAGCCAAGCCTGTCATTGGACACATGCACCCAGAGATATTTGAGGTAACCCAAGCTTATCCAGGAAAATCCTGGCAATATATTCTGTTAGGTCAGTCACCTCATGTAGTGTGGATGTCACTAGTTAAAGTAGTTTCAACCTGATCATGATTATGGTTATGCCTATCAATGTCATACTAAAAATTGAAATATGACTGATTGTATTTCAATTAAATTTGGGCTGAACCTGCATAGCAAAAAGAGCTTTATATTGACATGATAATTCAATATACTCAAGTGAAATATTTGGTGATTTAGTTGTATTTAGGTGTATACAACACTGAATGTATTCCATCTTTTTATAAGTCTATGTGCTTATTCAACTTATTTTTTCAATGTAGATTAACTGAATGCATGTTCTAATCATAGAAGGCTGAAACAACAGTTGAAAATCTGAAATTTGAAAGATTTTTCTTGCCCCGCTTTCACAGCATTTATCAGTCATCACAACTGCTGCTGATTGGGATATTCTGATTGGAACAATTGTGGCTTGCATGTAATCTTTTTCCGTTTCAATAAATCATTGTTTTCCCTTAAACTCAGCTCATTTTCTTTACAGATAATGAATGACATCAAAAGTGGAATCCAATATATGTTCCAAACTCAAAACAAGATGACTTTAGCTGTGAGTGGCACGGGCCACACTGCAATGGAGTGTGCCATCTTCAACGCTGTGGAACCTGGGGACAGTGTGCTGGTAGCAGTTAATGGTATCTGGGGAGAGCGGGCAGCAGATATGGCGGAGAGAATAGGTATGGCAGCTCGTACTTTATATTTCATGTTAAAATTTGTATTAACGAGACCAAAATAACTAGCAGATTGGATCTCCTTAAATATGTGGGTTGGGTTGCCTTAAGCTATCTTTATAGAAAGTTGGGTAAAAAATGTGTTTTAGGACAATAGAGAAACAGCAATAAAGTAAATACTGTGCAAATTTCTAATTGAAGGAACTAAAGAAAAAGATGTACACCTATGAGTCTTTGAATGGACTTCTGAACAACTACCCCTGTTCTTTACCATTAGTATCAATTAGAGGTATTAGAATAATTTTGAATTAATTTAAAAACATCAGGTGTCAATCCAATAGGTGCCAGAGTAAATACAATTGTGGCGCCGCCTGGTGGCTACTTGACCAACGCAGACATTGAGAAGGTATCCATTCATAAAAAGTGAATTTGAATAATGTTCCCATTGCAACATCTCACAGAATCATGATGTCATCTCACTGCAGGCTTTATCAAAGCACAGGCCAGTGTTGTTCTTCCTCACACATGGAGAATCTTCTACAGGGGTCTTGCATCCTATGGATGGCATCGGAGAGTTGTGCCATAAGTAAGACACACGCTTAAGCTACAGTAGTCCCTTCAATTCCAGACGAATGATTGCAGATGTGTTCTGTGTGTGTCTGCAGGTATAACTGCCTTTTTCTTGTTGACTCTGTGGCTTCAATAGGAGGGGCACCTCTCTGCATGGATCAGCAAGGTTTACAGATTAACCCAGCAAAAAGTTTCAGAACATTAATTTGTTTAAATGACGATTCAATGTAAACATGTGTTTGTTTACTTGCAGGCATTGACATCCTGTATACGGGCTCCCAAAAGGTTCTGAATGCTCCTCCGGGAACGGCACCCATTTCATTTAGTGAGAGAGCATGGTGAGAAAAGTGTCATGATTCAATAGGTCAAGCAGCTTTACTACCTGAACGTAAAGTGAAAATTAAAGTTTTTATTTAAGACTACATTTTTCCAAAGTGAAAAGACATTCAATCGGAAAACAAAGCCTGTGTCATTCTTCTTGGATTTGAGTTGGCTTGCAAACTACTGGGGATGTGATGACAAGTCATCAAGAGTGTAAGACTTTTTTTTCTATTTTCCCTACAGAAATGTATAAACAAATCCACGTTTCAAATACTCACCTCAGTTTAAGAGAGGTAAATCTTTATGAACAACTTAGTCTTCTTTATATCCTCTTAACAGATATCACCACACGGGTCCAGTCACTGCTTTTTACACCTTGAGGGAGAGCCTAGCTGTCCTTGCAGAGGAGGTGGGATGTCAACTATTTCTAACTGTGTTAAACTAGCATTAAGTTTGTGCAGCCTCAGAGGCAAGAATCTTTATTGATGATTAAAACTTGTCAGATTTTGATCAAACCACGAATGTGATCAACAATATTCAACTAACATTTTATCATGTCTCACTTATCTTTAATTAATTGAAGGGCCTGGAAAATTCCTGGATAAGACATCAAAATGTGGCAGAGTATTTCCACGCTAGCCTGGAGAACATGGGTCTCAAGCTTTTTGTCAAAGAAAAGGTACGTGTTTAAAGGTAATGTGCATTTTTCCAAACAAGTCCATAAAAGGGTTTACATAGAGCTGTTGATCTTTTAACATAAAATCATAAATGGTTTCTTAAAGCACGCAAGACTACCTACAGTCACCACAATTATTGCCCCTCATGGATATGACTGGAAAGAGATCACGGGCTACATCATGAAAACTCACAATTTAGAAATTTCTGGAGGCCTGGGACCATCAGTTGGTCTGGTAAGAGAAAACTCAGTGCACAGTGAAAAGCCAAACCCCCTTTGCATGTAATTGGAATTGAACCAGTTTTTTTTTGTCTTTTCAGGTGTTGCGTGTGGGACTGATGGGATGTAACAGCAGCAAGGCCAATGTTGACATGGTGCTGGTGGCACTGAAAGATGCTCTGAAACACTGTCATAAGAGCAAAGTGTAACATGCATCTCTTTGATTATGTTAAAGCAACTGTGATTCAATGATACTGTCACTTGAGGATAACAGTGTCAGAAATAAATGTTTTTTCCTGGAAACCACCTTGTTGGAGTTTATCTTACATGGGTTGTATAAAGGATGGTGGCCATGTGCCTGGATATTTACTATTTTCATTATCATGGTCAAAATTTTATTTGGACCTATGGATGCAGCAGTCAACATTTTTGTAGGACTAAAGTGAGGAACTGGACCCCAGAGGCAAGGGACCTGCTTCAGGATTGCATGGAATCTGCTAACTGGGAGTCTGACTGAGGGGCCCTGAGGATGACAACACCGTATGTCCCTACATCGGCTTCTGTAAGCAGGTTTGCCTCCCAGCCAAAACGATCACAAGGTACAATAAAAAAAAGCCCTGGTTCTTCAAGCAGCTCAGAGAGCTCGACACCGGAAAGAGCAGGTGTACAGAGAAGGTGATATAGACACATTGAGGCTGGCCAAACAGGATCTTAAGGGGCCATCAGTACTGCTAAAAAGGGACTATTGTGCCAGACTTGAGCGTGATTAAGCCACCAATGACTCTGCAGTTGTATGGAGAACCCTCAGGACCATTACAGGATACAGAGGTAAAAGCCCTGCCATCACCCCCTACCCCGGACTAGCTGACGATCTCAACACGTTCCACATCAGGTTTGAGACACCAGCTGCCCCCCTTTTGTCTGCACTCCCTGGCCCCTCTCCCTCCTTTTACACAGACACTGTGAGCTGTCCCATCCCTCATCCCCCCATAACTCACACAACCTCACACACCCCATTACCTGGGTGCGGGTTGGCAGCGTCCTGTTGGTTCCCTCACCGCAACACCGGTGCTCCACAAGGTTGCGTCCTCTCCCCCTACCTGTTGTTCCTGTACACCAATGACTACCTTGTCCATCAAACTGGTCAAGTTTGCGGAAGACACCACGGTCCTGCGCTTCATCAAGAACAACGATGAGACGGCGTACAGGGACACATTGTCTTGCTTTGATATTTTGCCATAGTCTTGTTTTGATACTTTGCCACAGTTTTGTTAATCTTGATTTGATACTTTGCCATAGCCTTGTTTACTTTATTTGATACTTTGTGTTCATAATCTCGTTAACCTTGCTTTGTTACTTTGCTCATAGTTTTGCCAACCTTGTTTTGAACCATGTTCTGCATCCACTCCGTTTGAGTGAGTTTTTTGTTCCAATAAACCCCTGTTCCTGAATCTTTCCGCGCCTGAGTCCTCCCTAAGACCCACCGTCGTGACACCAGGCACCTGAACAGTTTTTTTCCTCCCAAGCCACCACCCTCTTAAATAAGGACATCAGCACCCTCCAACCATTTTTACAGTCACTTAAAGATATGGACACCTAAAAACACACACTTATCATATGTACCTTTTTTGCCATTTTCTTTTAAATGTATTTATTAAAACTTACCAGTTGCTTTGGGATATCAGGTCAAATTCCTGCTTACTCTGTACATTTGGCCAATAAAGAGATTTCTGATTCTTAATTTTATCTCCACTTTTTCTCTTTTCTTCTATGCTCCCAGATGCAGTTGGTTGGAGTACATCATTATTAAAACCTGATTAGGCTTAAATAAGTTTTTACAGATTTGTATTATATAGTCTAAGCATTACAATACAGTCTATGAAAAATATTGTGTATTCATGTCAATTTCACATTTAGAACAGTAAACTACACAAGTACACCTCTTGTGATGATTTTTTAAAATGGAGATCAGTAGGTTTTTCTTTTTGTCATATAATAAAATATTGTAAAATACATTTCTTGTCAGAAAACGAGTAATCCAAACAGTCATTAACTGTCATTTGATGTAGACATAATATCATACAGAATAAAAAGGCGATCACTGAGGTGAAAAAAAACTAAAGACTTTCATAAGTGGTTCGTTGGCGAGGATTTGAAGCTCCCTGGTTACATTCAAAGACATATATGCATATATGTACGTATATACGTTTATATTTCTATGGTTACACTAACCTAGAGGAAGGCAGTATTTGACACACACATAGACCCCGCATTGAGTGCTGAATCGCACGCCGACGCCCCCACCGTCCTGGATGTGGCAAAGTGGAGAATACAAGTCAGCAATCAGACAATTCCCTGATGGAAATCTAAGGTTGTTTGTTTGTTGTTTGCTAAGTTCTCGAAAGGCCCCATCAGAACTATATATGCCTATGGTATTTCAGACATAACATTTAAAAGACATAACAATTAAATTCAAAAGAAAATACCAAAGAAAAAAAATATCGGAAGTACGTCATACTACTTCCGTATTGACTTTCGCTTCAGTAAACGGCGGGTAAATTGTGAGCAAAGCTTGAAGTTCTCTGTTCTGCTATCAATTGAGATAAGCCTGTACTTTTTTTTTTAATCTACAAACGTTATCCCTGAAGAGTAATGGCGTGTAAAAGAGGTGCACTGATTGTGCTAGAGGGGGTGGACAAAGCCGGGAAAACGACACAGTGCAAGAGGCTTGTTGACGCGCTGCTAGCGGGAGGGCGTCCGGCGGAGATTATGAGATTCCCCGGTAAGGCACACTCTTATTTTGTTGGCTATTAACGCATAGGGTGTCCAAAATCTGTATTGGCGGGCCGCTGTCATGCAGGATTTATGAGTTCCCTCACTTCGCAACAATGCACCATTGTCAGGCTAGTGTGCTGAGCTGTTACGTGTGTCCATATAACAAGAAAAAGTGTTGAAAGTTGTAAAATCTGCAACTGGCCCAACATGACCGGAGTTGTACACTTCTCTTCTAACCGTTCGGCACGTTAACACATATTACGTTAACAATTATTAACGTGTTGAAGTGCGTTTTTGATTTGCAATTGGTATAAAGGCCAATTTAACTGAATTTTTGCATTCTAATCACTCAAAGCCGGGTTCTGTTTGGAAACTACAGTAGCTACACTGCTCAAATCTGTAAATAATTATTTTAAATAGACTGTAGATTCACTAAAAGCTTGAAAGCAAAAAGAAAGCAGTAAAATAGCCCTGTTTTGTAAGTTTACAAATCAGAAAAAGGTTGCACAATTCCCTAATCTTTTAATGAAATTACAGCCTATTTAGAATACTTCTATCCAGATTTGTGCAGTGTAGCTACTGTAGTTTCCAAACAAAACCCGGTTTTGAGAATAATTATGCCAAAAACAGCAGTGAAATGGCTCTTTATTCCATTGGCAAATTGGAAGCCAGCCTCAGGCTCCTGAACTGGGTAAACCAGTTCTATGATATCACAGTGACATAACTATTTCTAATTCAGACAGAACCACAACGATCGGAAAGATGATCAGCGCCTATCTGGAGAGGAAGAGTGATTTGGAGGATCACGCGGTGCACCTTCTGTTCTCCGCCAACCGTTGGGAGTTGGTGTAAGAATTTCACATTAATCAGTGCAGAATTATACAGGATAATTAATTGAGTGATGAAGGTAACTTTCAGTATCTGTAAAGATTCTCATACATCCAGGTCATGGTCCAGTTTGAAAAGTTCAGTTTTAGGCAGCTGGATGTGAAGTTTTTTAGAAGACGTTTCAGCTCTCATCCAAGAAACTTATTCAGTTGTAACTGATAGTGTGGAAAACTGAGATTGATATACTGTAGGTGAAACAAAACAATTACAGGAAAAAAACTAAAGGTGGTTTTGACCCCTCATTCTGGGTGAGTCATAGAAGTCACCTGGGGGGCTAATGTTCGTTATGGGGTTCTGATGGGTCATTAACTCTTTTTTGTTAACTCACTCTATTCTTTTGTATGTGTATATAAATATATAATTTATTTTTCAATTTTTTAAAATTTTGCTTGTGTTTTGTTGGATTCTTCACAAACCTATTTCCACTATGTTACACAAAAGAAAGACTTTCCATCCACATCGCCAATGTGACATTAAAGCATTTTTGGTTAAAAAACTACAGGTAGGTGGCCAACTAGTCCTGGTAGGCTAACCACTGGCTAGCCTTGGAAAACTGGTTTCTTCAATGAAATTCCTCATTAAGCTTGTTGGATTTACTAAACTGTGAGATCATGCTTGATCTGACATGAACCAATAAATCAAGATGTACTTGATTTAATGTGATTGATTTAATAGTTGCTTAAATGTTTGTTCTTTTGTTGTCAACAAAAAATTGAAGCTCATCAAAAACTTACCTGACTAAGTAGAGATGAGTGTCGGATCTCTCGAAGTCATCCGTTAATATGCTGTAATGTTCAGCATATCACAGCCTCCATCATATAACCTGCTGTGGGTTGTCTCAACATCCAATGTGTAATGTTCCTGGAATTGAGGAGCAGCTCAGTTCAACTGTTTTGGAATCACATCCAGTTATGTTAGCCAATATTATGTTTCAGTAACTTTTACATTTAACTATATGCACGTTTTTCACCTATAATTTAAAATATTCCCCCTTTTATTCATATTAATTCCCTAATTACCAAGGTAAATTTCCCAACTTTGACAATTCCGCAAATTTTTAAACTGTAGATTTGACCTCTCTTATTGTCCTTTTTTGTGTGTTTTTATCTTGTTATACTAAGTTTTGCTCTTTACCATCTGTATTACGGCCCCCGTGATGGACTGCCTTCTTGTCCAGATTGTGTCATTCTTCATGCCCACTTTCATCTGAAAGTGCTTATACTAAATTGGATTAACAAGGTATAGGTTATGGAAATATTATGGCTATAATATCTATATATATATACTAACCTCTACAGGCCTCTGATGAAGGAAAAGCTGGAGCAGGGGATCACTCTGGTTGTGGATAGGTACGCCTTCTCTGGAGTTGCTTTCACCAGCGCTAAGCCTGTGAGCATTTTTTTGTCCAGTCAAACTTTGCATTGATCTGTTTGTTTGCGACGCTTCTCTGAAGACCAACCAACCATGGTTTAAGGGTTTTTACTTTTTCAAATTGCAGGGTTTCTGTCTGGACTGGTGCATGAAACCTGATGTGGGACTCCCAAAACCTGACCTAGTTATGTTTCTGCAGCTGAGCCCAGCTGATGCTGCTCTTAGAGGTCAGTTTGGCGATGAGAGATACGAGACTAAAGTTTTCCAAAAAGCTGTTCAGCAGAAGTTTGAGCATCTGATGATGGATCGGTCTGTAAACTGGCAGGTATGAGGTGTTTTTGGGTTGCAAATTGAGGCAATGATGTACGTGTCATAATACAATTTCTCTATTTAGGTAATCGATGCCTCACAGAACATTGAGGATGTTCACAACAACATCACAACCCACAGCCTTAATGCCATCAACGTGGCTCAAAACAGGCCACTTGGAGAACTATGGAAGTGAAGAAGAGTTGGTCAGGGCAAAACTTTAAGAACATAGTAACCCTTTACACTGCTTAATTTTCAATGACAGATATAATATAACATTTAGTCAAAATTGGAGAAAGACATATAGCTTTCAAATACCAGATTGTGATTTTATTTTCAGTTCTAATTCCTTGTACATATCTATTGTTCTGTGTCTTGTCTATATGTTGTTTCTGATTAAATAAATAATCTTGAACCAAACTAGAGTGTACGTTTTAGACTTGGCAAGGATACTTTGCATCAATAACTGGTACAACTTCTTTTCAGTTTTGACTGGATTTGGTTTCATTACAGGCTGTTACAGACTTTAGTTATTAGTGACAAACTGCGTAAGCTGTAGGCATCATGAACCGTTGTGATTCTAAACAACATAAAACCATTATGGCAATTTTGCTTATGGAGTCAGGGAAAGGCACCATATCACTTCAGAATGAACATTAAAGTGTTAAGACTCAATGGAAATGCGTGTGTGTGATCATGTGCATACAGAAATTATCCTGAGCTCTTGCTACAGCTTCCACGAGGCAGTCTTAAAGTTGGATACAAACGGCATTCAGATGCTGTTGAAGAGCGCTGTGTAACACACGCAGACTATGCAACTGGAGCTGGACTGGCTCAAGAGGTCTCCAATAAAATGTTCATCTCATCAGGCTTCCCTTCTGATGCAGAGAAGAGACAGATGATCCTTTGCCTACTGCTGAGATGGTAAATCATTGTTCATATAGTTCCTCACAAGGACAGGATCTCAAACTCTTCATCTTCTGAATCAAAGAATCGCTCCAATCTGTCGGAATCTGAGAAATCTGAAAAGAAATAAAAGAGAGAAAAAAACATTAAAAATTGTTATAATTAACACAAATTTAGGAGTAAGGTAAAAACCTAAGCAGACTCTACCAGGAGTAAGGTTGAGGGCATCCACGCTGACCATGTGGGCAGGCTGACTGTCTACTAACTCAAACATGGGCAGGCCCCCTCTCTTACAGGACAGCTAGAAGAGAAGCAACATTTTTTTATAACAACCAATAACAACCATAGTGCATCTCTATTTTAGCAGAGTAAAAGATAAACAAGACTTTGGAAGTGCAGAAAGACATACCCGTCTTATGCGCATACACCAGTCGTCAAACTCGTCCTCTGTTCTGCAGAAGAAACCCTGGCAAACACCAGAAAACAGTCAGCTACACATCTGAGATGTTCTTAACCTTTCAGCCTTCCCACATTCATGTTTAACAATTGTCCTAAGTTGAAGACAAAAGCTCTCTGCCATAAAACCCTCCCTTGCAGTCCTACCGCTGCTATGGATGGGTCCAGTTCACAGATGTGCATGCGGCAGGGTGGGTGCTGACAATGGTACGTCTCATCGGGGACCTGGCTGTCTTCATATGGCTCCACTGCAGGCTGTGTGGTGTGTGGGTCTAAATAAATGAGCTCCTCTCCTGTGAACAAAGAAATGTGTTCAGAACCAAAACTTGTCTCTTGGATAAAAAAAATAAAAAAAGAAGCAAATGTACTATTTACAATGCACCCAGTTAGTTAAATCCTAAACACAACACGAGACAAGACATACCAACATAACCAATGAAGTAATGGGCACTGTTGGGTTTTCCCCCAATAACACCAAGGGACTGAGGCAGCATGAAGCATTGCTGTGAAAAGAGAAAATACTCTTTATCTCACCCATCTTTTCACCAGCAGTTGAATTTGCCTCAGTCATACTCTACATATTTTTTTCTATTGCATCTCTTTTAATGAGTAAAAAGACTACATTTTCTTACAATCCTTTTTGTATTAATTCCAAAATCTACATTTACTTAGCATTTTATTCGATCGTACAAATTGACAAAAGGCTTCATGATTATCACTCATGGCTAATCCCATTTATATGATTATAAATACAACACATGTATACAGGGAAATTCATCACCTTAAGGGTTTCAATGTAGGCCTCATTTATATCACTCAGGCCCAGCCTGAGGGGAATAAGCAGGACAAGAGGTTTCCAGAGAGCCGTCTCTTCCTCAGCCAGGGCACAGGCCCCCTCCAGGCAGCCGTTTAGCTCCCCAACTCCCTCTGATTCACTACATGCTCCTGCTAGGTCCAGCCAGGGCATACAAAGACGCTCTGTAGAAAACAATACCAGTTGAACAAAGACGTCTACAGTGAGTCCAAGAAGTATTTGATCCCTCGCTGATTTTCTTCGTTTGCCCACTAATAAAGATGTGATCATTCTGCACGTTTAATGGTAGATGTATTCTAACATGGAAAGACAGAATATCACAAAGAAAATCCTGAAAAAAAATCTAAGGAATATATATTAATTAATTTGTATTTTATTGAGGGAAATAAGTATTTGATCCCTCAGTATGCATTAGGAGTCCTGCCTTTCACAGTGCAGTTAGACACCCCCAATCAGCTTGTTACCTGAACTGAAGCCACCTGTTCTCACTACTCACTTGTGTGAAAAAAAAACCTGTTCACAGAATCAGACAATCTGACAGATTTCAAGTCTCCAACATGGGTAAGACCAAAGAGCTGTCTCAGGACCTCAGAGTCAGGGTTGTTGACCTCCACAAAGCTGGAATGGCCTACAAAAAGATTAGCAAGGTGTTGGATGTGAAAGTAACAACTATTGGTGCAATTGTTAGAAAATTTAAAGAGTATAACATGACCATCAATAGACCTCGGCCTGGTGCTCCAAAGAAGATTTCACCTCTTGGGGTGACAATGCTCCTGAGAACGGTCAGAAATAATCCTGCAACCACTCGTCAGGAGTTGGTAAATGACCTGAAGGCAGCTGGGACCACAGTGTGCAAGGAAACAATTGGCAACACTTTGCGCAACAATGGACTAACATCCTGCAGTGCCCGAAAGGTACCCCTGCTCAAGAAGGCACATGTGGAGGCGCGCCTTAAGTATGCCAATGATCACCTGAAAGATGAACCAAGTTATTGGGAGAAGGTTCTGTGGTCAGACGAGACCAAAATTGAACTTTTTGGGCTCAACTCTATCCGCCATGTGTGGAGGAAGAAAAATGCTGCCTATGACCCCAAGAACACTGTGCCCACCGTCAAGCATGGAGGTGGAAGCATAATGTTTTGGGGGTGTTTCTCTGCCAAGGGTACAGGGCTACTTCACCGCATCACTGGGAAGATGGATGGAGCGATGTACCGTACAATCCTGAGGGACAACCTCATCCCTTCTGCCAGGAAGCTGAAAATGGGACGTGGTTGGGTCTTCCAACATGATAACGACCCCAAACATACAGCAAAGGCAACAAAGGATTGGCTCAAGACACATCACATGAAGGTCATGGAGTGGCCCGGCCAGTCTCCGGACCTCAATCCGATTGAGAATCTATGGAGGGAGCTGAAGGTCAGAGTTGCCAAGCGACAGCCCACCAACCTTCCTGATTTAGAGAGGATCTGCAAAGAAGAGTGGGCGAAAATTCCCCCTGGTGTGTGTGCTAAACTTGTGGTTAACTACAACAAACGTCTCACTCCTGTACTTGCTAACAAAGGCTTTGCCACTAAGTATTGACTGTGTTTGGCTAGAGGGATCAAATACTTATTTCCCTCAATAAAATACAAATTAATTAATATATATTCCTTCGATTTTTTTTCAGGATTTTCTTTGTGATATTCTGTCTCTCCATGTCAGAATACATCTACCATTAAACGTGCAGAATGATCACATCTTTATTAGTGGGCAAACGAAGAAAATCAGCGAGGGATCAAATACTTCTTGGACTCACTGTACATGGAAAAGACTGGGTCAAATGTGCAGAGTGTAAAAGCTCCACTCACTGATCTCTTCGATGATCACAGTGTTGTCCATTGCAACGTGTACGACTAGTCTGCTCCATGTATCAAACACTGCCAGCTTCCTAAAAAAGTAAAGCCAAAATTAACTTTTTGACAAACAGACATAAATTCATACCACGTTGAAAAGCAAATTCACAAACTGAAATATTCAAAACAAAGAACCACACAACAAATAAGTTAGAGTTTAGATTGTTCGATCAACTGACAAATTTCCGTTCAGAACTAGCTGACTTTCCCACTTTTCTGTGTTTAAAATTTGAAGTAAACCAAAGACATAAAAAACATTCAGATATTACTATGTAATTCTGCCCACAGATTCTATCTCTTCTCTGATTTATGTCTCCTATAACCAATAATACATTAATGCACATTGCACAACAAATGTAGATTGGCCCCAGTTTGAAAATGATGTGTTTAGAGACTGCTAATGTCACATTATGCGACAGTCAATTGATGATATTTAGGATTTAGAGTGGCAATAAACAATTTTCCGACTACAATAAAAAAAACACACAACTATCAAATCTCATCACTTACTTTAGAACTTGTGCGACTGTGTTTGGTCCATACCACTGGCCTATAGGCTTTCCTTCTCCGACTCCCATTTGAGCTGCAGAATTTAGAAACAAAAATAATATTTTTCTAAAAAATCTGTCAGTACCACAACCCATGATTCCTTGACATAAAAACTCACTCACCGATCTGATGGATGGAATAATAGCTGTCTTTTTTGTCAATGAAGGCATTAAGAATACTTATGTACTCCTCTCGTTGTTTTTGACCTTTGGCCCATCTCCAGTCTGAAAAAAAATAATAACCAAAATACCTGATATCAATGCCCAAAACATGCTAAATCTGGTGTGGTTGAATAGGTGTAGGAAAGCTATTAGTGTTGCACAGCTATGCAATTTGTTTGTGACCATTACATTTACATCAGATATCTGGATTTTAAAATCTTACCTCTGCCCAAGTGTCGACACACCAAGGCCTCTCCCAGGATCATCTGGCCACACCGTAACATACATCCCCATCCTGTGTCTGATGTCGGTCCAGTGCCCCCTGAAACACATTAAGCAGTCATTTGTGATTTAATTCAGTTGTGAAAACTTCACGAGATCAACATTTCAACATTGTTGTGTCCACTCACCAATCGGTGGGAAGTTTTTTCTGTATGTGAACCACAGCCGGGAAGTGACGTCTGACAAAATCTCATCTTTTTCTACATTAGGAGCGGAAATCAATATGTTATCAAAATAATTAAGCGTACCGCCTTTCTCTCTGATATAAATTTGATTAATAGAAGTTAATCTGTCAAGACTTTGCCATCTATGGTGTATATCCTAAAGTTCCACCTGTGAGTGCACTGTATTCTTTCCCCAGGATCCACACAGGCTCTGAGGTCTCGGGAAAATCTTCAAATTCTCCAAAGCGAAGTGTGTCATACGTCAAGGTAGCTGCAAAAACAAGGCAGATGTAATAGTGTAGAGAACACACAGATAGAAAGAGATGTAGATGATCACCATTAGTAGCATTTGTCTGCGCTTTAGAACTGAGGAAGCTATCTGTCAGGTGGTGAAGAAGGAGCAACCATTAGCTGCTTCAGAAGAATACCAGTCACTTACTGGATGGATCTCTTCTATTATATATCTCTTATATTATATATTTGGGAGGGGGGCTTCATTCTTCTCATTTCATATGTAAGCACAAAGGTGAATAGTGTTGTGGGTGACTGAAAGTTCATTTCAAAACTTATGTGGAGGAACTGTAGAGGGACTGATTTTTTAAATTGGGCCGGAGGGCTTTTTTACTAAGTATCATGGGCACATTTAAACAATACAGTAGCTGTATTTTCAAATGTTTTTCAAAGCTCTTTTGACTCGGTTTACAGACATAAAAAGTTTTCCACTTCTGATAATTAAAGATGATTTATGTGGGCAAATATAAATGCAGTGAATAGTTGGCTTAATCCTGAGGAATTCCATAGTGAAAATGGTCAGAGTCTGTATTTACAGGCTGCACTTAAACAATGGACTCAAAGTCAAATAGCTCAGCAAAGGACGACATAAGGGAAATGTTCCTCCTAAAAAACAGCTGTGTTGCCAAACAGTTTTTCTGAGTATACTATCGAAATTTATTATAGCTTGAAAAGACAAGATGTCGCTATAAGGTTTAAAGAAAGAGTGTTTACTTGACTCATAGCGCTAATAAGCCAATAAAGAAAGATATTAAGCTGGAAGTCAGTGATATCCAAGTAAGTAGTCTCGCATCAGACCACATGCTAGTCTTTAGCATCCCCGGTGCTAACATTACCAAAATAAGCCTACGTGACGTGACAGTGATAGTGCATCAGGGTGCTCCTCCAGGGCGTAGCACAATATTAGCATGAACAATAACAAAAAAGACTCGGAGACACATATTATGAGTGGAACTTCACAACAACACATGGCGTTATACTTCCTCAGCTACGTTCTGAAAGGCACCGACGGCGCAACAAGCTGTCAGGGCCATTTATTAGTAATAATAGCAAGCTAACGTTAGTTAGCAGTTAGCTTTAGTCATCACTTTAGCTAAGCTAACGTCACTGGAGCTACAAAGCAATATGGATCTGTGTTGCACTGGTGCCTGGCTATGGCAATATTGCCGTGAGAGAGTGCGAATTTTTGTTTTAGACATGAGGTGTTGTCTCCAAAAAACTGAGTTGCTAGAGTAGAATAAAAAATAGTAACTTACAATAAAATCTCACTTACCTGCATCCATCCCGACGATCTTCACCCTATCTTGTTTGTTGTTCTCTGCACTAATCGGCTAGACCAATAGGAAGAGAGTGCACATGTGGAAGCAGGACGTATCTTGTGTAACCCAATAGAATTTAGCATGGATATGTTGTTTTGCCCAGAGCTCAGTTCTAATTGGCTAACCTTTAAAAAAAAAAGATTGAAAGTGCCATGACATATTACTTACTTTTTTAAAATTCACCCGACCAGAGTTTAATTCGAGAGTAAACAAAGACTTAATCGAAATGGCATGACAGCATAGTTTTACTGTACAGATTGCACAGAAACCAAACAAATGTATCAAATCGTTTGATTATTGTTATTTACTGAAAATACGGGACTCATAATTACCTTTAAAAAAGGTTAAATCTATTAGGATTGATACTGAAACTCTTTTGAGGAGAAAAAACGACTAAAAGAAATGTAGGAAGGCAAAGCTCAATTATTAAGCCTCAAAAGATTAACTGGCATAACAGATACTTTAATAAAGGAGGGGTCAACAACCAAGAAATTATCATGACCACAGCTTAAAATATGAATGTACACAACTTGTAAAACCCTTCACCACCCTTTGTATCTTTATTGTTCTTCAGCTCTTTTCCAAATTGTATAATTAAAAAGTTAGATAGTTTGTTTTTTGGTTTGGATTGTCTTTCAGATATTTTTGTCAGGATAATGCAAACATACAAATATTACACTGAAAACAATGCAGTTGTACAAACAAATGACTAAAAAGTAATTTCAAGTGGTGTTAAATGGCCAAAGTTAAAATCTTTGATCAAAAGGAGTGATGACTTTCAAACGTTCTACAAACAGACCACTTACCACTGCTTTCTGAGACGTTTACACATCATTCCTGAGTTTCTTTAATACCAATTAAATGGAAAAATGCTACTACACTTCTTTGAACCATTTATTAAAGACAATATTAACAATTACAGATGACTGACAAAGTATTTTGTATGTCGCTCGGTGATATGTACCATGCAAAAGTACAATTATTCATGGAATAAATTCTACTAACCAACCAACTGTATAAAAAGTGCTCATAGTGACATGCTGTGACTTAAATTACTGAAAAAAGCAATAGAGCAATATAATACGCAGCCTCACCATGAAGAATTGAGATGGATGAGAAACTGCTTTGAATGACTTCCCATCAACAAAGAATACAACTTTGAAGACAGGACGACTATTCTAATAATTCTTTTCAATGTTTTCCTCTTTTTTGAGAAAACTAAAATGTGCCATTGTGCCATTATCACGAAAAAGAGGAAAAAATTCATCAATTTAAGATATCCAATTTGGGCCCATGTTTAAGTCAATTATGCCTAAACAAAGTAGTAAAAGAGGAGTATTAAAACCGGAAACTACATACAAGCTGTCACTATAATGAGACATTTAGCTTTACATTTCTACATGTTGTAGCTGAAAAACTTGTATAAGATCAGTGATAAGCTATTCTGATGAGAAATATAAAACAGTGAAACAGAGGATTGATTTTCTTTATAACAAAGTAAAATTTTCTGACTAGGACTTTCATTAAAGACTCTGCACATAATTTTGTACTGTCTCTCATATCCATCATTATTAAGAACTTTCTAACTTTGCATATAAATGTAAAGCAGTTAGTATTTATTTTCACTAGGTCAGCACCATACAGGCAGAAAAACATGAGGTTCTACAGTCTGTGGGAAAAAAAGGTTAAAACAAATATTTTAAAAAGCATAAAGAGTGCATTTGTGTACATTCACATCATACATGCCTCAAAATAAGCATTAATAATAAATAGACAAAAGAAAGCCTATGAAAGAATGAAAGTTCGGGTCTGTGAAATAGGTATGTGTTCATTGACAAAGGTTCAGTGCAAATTAGTGTAAACATACTCCAAAAACCATGGATGCTTAACGGTTGTGGTACTGTGCTGGTCTATCGTTTCTGCACTCCATCGTGTGACTCAGTCTTTTAACTTCTCTCTTAGGAGGTCAAATACAACAGCCTTCAGGTAGTGTCCAAATGCACAAACAGCAGACACTAGCCAGTGAGAGTGGAAGCTTGGATCAGTATTCACCACACATTTTGTAACATCCATCTGTGAAAAAAAAAACACAAGAAAAATTCAAATAAGTTCAAATTCTAAGATCTAACAACAAAAAGTCACATAAAGAAGGCAAACTACAAGTAGAGACTAGTGTAAAAGAACAGAAAAATATGTTTCCCCTTCCAGCACAGGGATCTGAAGGCTCTGTTTGCTTTGGGAGGCATTTTGCTGACATGGTCTGAGTCAACTTGTTTAATTCCAAAGAAGATATCAAATTGTCATGAGTGATCATCTTCATCCTATCATGAAACATTTATAAATAGTCTCCAGGGGGAGAATGCCACCACCCTTCAAAATTATTTAAATAATTTGTTAAGGACTTTATAGTCAAGAGCTGAACATCTGTCTCCCTCCAAAACATAGAATGAAAGAATATCTTTGTAAAGAAAAGGTTAGGAAATCTTAATAAGTCTTGGATCTTCATAGGCAGTGATATACCACAGACTGCACACTGAAGTCTCCAAAACATAGAATGAGAGAATATCTTTGTAAAGAAAGGGTTAGGAAATCTTAACAAGTCATAGATCTTCATAGGCAGTGATACACCACAGACTCCACACTGAAGTGTCAAGTCCTGACACTAAACCCTTCTCCCTTTTGAGCGTAGCCCGTTCTTCCAACCAGAAAACATTTTAAGTTTCCGATTTGCTGACATAATCTCTTAGAGTAGAAAAGTCTGGTTTATGCGCAGCAGAAGGGAAAAACAGTTCCCTCATTTGTGCTTGTGAGGTCAGTCAGACAGTACAGCACTTCATTTTGTCACACTCTATTTATCCTCAAAACAAGGCAAACCAGGGTGCTTATTTGATCACATTCCAGAAAAATAGACAGAAGCACATTGTTGAGTGTTCTGATTTGGACCCAAGTGTCTTTATTGTCTCTGAAAAAAACTTGTTTCTGCAAGATCTAATCAAAATTATTTTTCCATGAGCAGGACTCAGAAAACCATCCACCCTCTTGTCTAAAGCACAGGCTAAAGCTATTTTAGGGATCTAAACTCTTACTAATTTGATAGAGTAGGTATGCCGCTCGGAATAAAAAAAGAGAAACAACATCAGGTATCAAGTAAAACTACAAAGTGTAGTAGAAATAAAATATATTTGGGCTGGGATCAGAAATCATAGAGAATAGGTTATGCAGAAAAAAACAGTTTAAAGCCCAAAGATCCATCCATTTGTCTGTTCATTATCCATACCGCTTATTCCTAGTAGGGTCGCAGAAGCTCAAAGATGGACTGAATCAAATAAACAGATAATAAGACTTGGTTTAGACATGTCATTTTTCTATAGTTCAGTAATTCAGACTTAAATAATCCTTTAATAATCTGAAAGTATCACGTTTAAATAGAGGAAGTCAGTGGAGGAACTCCAACCAGACAACACAAAAAAATGAGGAACTACGAAGTAACTGATGAAAGCCGTCAAATTATTAGTGACAGAAATGGATCTCTAAATATTATTGTGGCTCTCTGTGAACCATGACCTAAATTCCATCGAGCTTCTGATGAGATAGAGACAAATATGTCAGCTTATTTACACTTCTGGGGTACAGGGGAAAGCTGAAAGCTTAATTTACTGAATCATAGGGAAAACTTACAGCACAGTTGTAAAAAGTGGCTGCTGTGAAAGCCCTTGCCTCTCGTTCTCAAAGCATTTCTCCAAAAATGACAAACACAATACAATATACACTTCTGCAACTGTTATCTTAAGTGGAGCTATCATCAGGAAACCACATACCTAATAAGCATTTTTATTACAGTTTGTTTACTGAGTTGACATTTGGAATGTGGTTTAAATTTAGATAAAAACAAGTGATAACATAGTGGTAACAAAGAGAAACTATAGCAAGTACTTTTTGGGGGCAGTTTTTGAAAAATACTTAAGCCACAGTAAAATCTAAAATATATATATATATTATTTTACATAATCACAAATTAGTGTTGATATCTTTATGAAGGAGTAAAAAAAGAAAAAAAATATTATTATAATCAGCTTCAAACTTTCTCTCTGCAACCTAAAAATCAGGTTTAAAAAAGTCTTGGGGTTCAGGTCTCTGCCCTGGCTTCCTGTTGCTCAGAGAATATACTTTAAAACAGCTCTGCTTGTGTACAAATCTCTTTATGGTCAAGCACCAAAGTACATTTCTGACATGTTAGAATGGTATGAACCAGCTCAGACCCTGAGAACCTCAGGTAGTGGTCTCCTGCTGGTGCTCAGAGACAGAACTAAAAAAGGAAAGCCTTCATTTAAGTTTTATGCTCCTAAAATCTGGAACAGTCTTTCTGAAGAGGTGAGACAGGCCTTAACTTAAATCCAGACAGTTCTATTTAACTATGCTTATGACTACTGAATGTATTTTATCTACACTCTTCACTTTTATTCTATTTAATCAATGATTGTTTTATTTAGTTGAACTTATATTTATTTATTTATTGTTTTCTGCTTTTAAGGTCTTGTAAAGCTCTTGTAAAGGTCTTGTAAAGCTCTTTGTGCACAAAATGTGCTATGGAAATAAACTTGACTTTACCTTGCCTCTATACCTAAATAATTTATTAAGCCTTAATGGAGTCGATGATTGTGGATTTTCCCTTTAAGTTTGTTGTCATGTTTTGCTTAATATTTCTCTTACCCAGCCCCCTCGCCGTTTTAGCCATGGAGTCAGACTCTTGCGAACAAACTCCCCCATGCAGTCAACAATGGTGTGGACCATTGCGGGATGACCATGTCGAACGCAGTCCACTGCCAAGGCCCCCGCCACTGCATACAAGGAAATCACTTTCCCCCATGTCACACCTGATGAGATAAAGAAATCATGGAAGTTATAACTAACAAACAAAAAAACGTTGAAATATGCAAATACTGTCTTTTTTTAATATTCAGAGTTCTATTTAGTGCAGCAAGTGTCTCCTTAAGCAGCTGTGTTTCTGAATGATTTAATTCATCATCTAATATAAGGAGTTAGATATAGAGCTGTACTGTATGTGAGTGTCCATCCATTTTCTTTACCGCTTATTCCCAATGGGGGGGCAGGAGGCCTACACTAGCTAACAATGGGCAAGAGGCAAGGGTCGCCAGTCCATTGCAGGGCCACACAGAGACAAACAACCAGACACGTTTAAATTCACACCTAGGGGCAATTTGTAGCGTCTAATTAACCTTACATGCATGTTTGTGGATGGTGGGAGGAAGCCTGAGGACCCGGAGGAGATCCATACAGACACAGGGAGAACATGCAAACTCCACCCAAAAGGCCCCCCTGGGACTCAAACCAGGAACCCGCTTGTTGTGAGGTGACAGTGCTAACTAGCACACCACCGTCACAATATAATAGTGTCAGATTCTCAAAATGTATACACTCGTATACAACTGAACCTTTCCTAAAAAATTGAATGCATAAAAGATCTGATGCCAAACAACAAAAAAAACAAAAAAAAAAACAGTTTTAATTAGAGTAAGATGTGAAAATCAGAGATCAGTGAAATTAATCCATAGTTCAGGTCTTATTTCAAAGACACAGATAATCACATAAGGTGATGCTATTTTCCACCATACTTAAAGTGCACTGTGTTTGGGGAAGCATCTATAAAGAAAGCGTGAGAATTTCAATTGCAGAAAAGTGGCTTCCTCAACTCAAAATATGCATGATAGTTGTAAATTGGCCATAGTAAGCCTTTATTTTTCTTAGTGGTAATAGGCTTTTCTTGTGTATCTTCTTGGATCTCTTCCCTTTTGCAAGTACACTTTCCAAAGACATCTGTTTTTGTTTTGTTTTTTAACTCATTTAGCTATCTTGTAGTAACCCCACAACCTATCCAAGGCTAAACATTTTTTTATTTTGAAAAAGGACCGTAATTCTGTCCTTTACATCCGTGACTGACGCTTGCCTCGGTCACGCGATAAATGGACGCTAACAACGCTGGCGTGTGGGGTTACCACAATTCCGGTCATTTTTCGAAATAAAACATTGTTCAGGCTTGGATACTAAAAAAAACGGAATATTGTAAGTTATTTATTTTTTCTTTACGGCCCAGTACTGAACGACCACAGAGTGGTCTGTAGCCCATGCGGTGTGGACCACTGGCTGACATGCCTTCGAAACTATGTAGAAGCTGAACGCTTGCTATCTTTCTTGGTCTGGGATCTGTTTTTATTCACTTAAATTTAACTTGTAAGTCAAACAAGACTATCTCAGAGATGTAAAGGTGTAAAGAACTGAACAGAACTGGGACCAAATTTGAACTACAGGTTCATCACTTAAATTCAATTCAGTTGAACGATCCTTGAACATTAATAATCTATTCATATGCAAACATTTCTAAGAGTAGTTTTAAATATTACGATACTCAAAGTTAGCAAATTGCCTTCATACAATGTTGTATTATGCTGAAGGTTTCACTGAGACCTCTGAATGTGCACCAATGAAGCTTAAGACACTGTAGTTATCTCTACAGTTTGGAATTCTCACATTGCAGCATGAAATTTGTTACTGAGCTCATGGGGATCAAAGGCAGCTGTAGTCCTAATCTATAGTCACACATTATTTCCTCTTCACAGTGACTCGTCAAGACTGTCAACTTTGGTCTGTGTCAGTATTTATAATGCATTCACTAATCTTTCTTACTTCTTTGGTTTTCAACCTGTAAACTAATGCCTGACCACTCATTTTCCAGAATTATAAAACAGAATTTAGTGCTTTTTGTTATTGTGCCCACAAAACATTGTATGAATTAAGGAGGTTAATTTGAATTGCTATTTTTCAGAGCAACCACGCGTTGCTGAGGACTTGTCTAACCTGATTTTCCTGGGTTTGACTATAATTACCTTTCCAGCTAATCTTTTTTGTCACATTCCCTGAGGAAACAAGCAGCTGAGATTAATGACTGAATTCCTTGAGTGGGGTCCAAGCCTTCTCTAAAGATCACACAACTTTAGAAACATGCTAGCCTTATGTGGAATGAAGGTCTTCCACAACATTTCTTTCCTGTCAAAAAGGATAATGTCAGCACCAAAATATCTCTTGCTAATACAGAATTCAGTGGGTACCCAATGTGGCAGGTAGTTCATTGCAGAAAATAGATTATTTTGCAGTTTGTTTACATTGGAAGGGGAAATTACATAAATTGTTTGGTACATAAATAAAAATGCATATAGGAGAAGTAAACTTGCACCATCTCATTAATTTTTTAACATAAACTCTTAACTTCGGCCTTCACACTGACAACTAAAGTGACTTCCTTAAAAAGGGCAAATGTAATGGTTTAAAAGTCATCGTTGGTGGCTTTCAGATGAAGACAATTAGGTTAACTACTGTGAAGCAAGTGTGCACGATTACCCAAACCTGTGGAAAAAATGTCTGCTGCAACAGCCAGGAACGCATCAGACACCACACTCTCTGATGCCACTGTGATGTTCAGCTGCCTCGCTACGTTGCGGTACACATTGGGACGAAGGTACTCCAACTCATCACCTGTTAGTAAAAAATACAAAATAAAACTGAAGCAATGCAGGGTGACAATGATAAATTAAAAAATGGCCTTAAGAACAAATATATACATTAAGAATGCTTCTACCTGTGAGTGACATGACTTGTTATATAGTTTACGGTAGTTAACACAATGATAACAAACTTAAGGTAAACTTTGTTTTTGTTAATGGCAACATTGAGACAAAGGGTGTCTTAACTAATTAAACTAAACTAAATTAAATTAATGTTTTTGGAGCGCTCTTTACCCACCACACAGATATAACAAAGGGGTTTATTTAGTTGTCTTGCCTCAGCTATAGCCTCTGAGCCACTTTTTGTTGTAGCACACACTTACAATTCATCCAAAACCGATACAAATTCCCTCACTTAAAGCACAAAGGGAAACAAAGTGCTCTTTCAACAAAATATTCAAATGTATAACTTATAGTTATACATAGTATCTTTACTGCACAAGTTGTAGATACTTAAATCTCTTTTGAACTCAGAGATTTTCAGTTACAGTAGACTAGTTACTTTTTCTGAACTTCTCTGGGATTGAGTTTCCATTGAATTTCCAGGCACCTTAAAGTGGAGGCCGCTTGATGCATGACAAAGGGAGAAACTGTGTACTGTCTGAGGGCATGCTGCTGCACATGCAAACCATCTCAGAGGGGATTCCTGGGAATCCCTTCCAAGTTGTGTAACTTCAAACAAAAGGTAAACCCGTGACACATTTCTAAATAAGGGCAGACGAAAGCAGCTTGCACTGAAACCAATATGATAATCAAAAATCAAGTTCATTAAGCAGAATTTATTTAGCTTTGTCATTTAGGAAATACAACAAACCGATATAATGTTTCAGACAAGATATGCTCTGTTTTGCATCATTATCTCGCATATTCCTCCGTTTTTATTGACTTGAAATTGTTTGGCTTTTTAGGTCTAAACAAAAGTGATATTTGGGTCACTTAAAGCTGAAATTGAAATAGGACATACTTCAATGCTCTCTGTGACTTGTCAAGATGATATACAATTAGATATACAATCTGATTTAGCATGTTGTAAATAACACCCGCAAATTCTTTTATGGCTGATCTCGAGCCTCGGTTTAATCGTGTATGCTGTTCTTTAAAAAGACTCACCCAGCCATAAGAGGACCGACGATATCTCTCCAAGAGAACCACCTGACGCAGCCAGTCCGTGTTCGGGCTTCGACAGTCCGATCCCGGCCCGGTTCAGCCTGGAGTGGATGTAGTCCCCGCACAGGGCTTTAGCCTGGGACACCAGCTCCTTGTCGGAGGGCGAGCGGTCGAAGACTTCGGCTGCAAACACGGAGGAGCGGCGCAGCATCTCCATGCTTCTGTCATCCGCGGCGGAGCGCGCAGCTCCCCTTTGGCTCGGTCGGTATCAAATAGATTGGCTTCTTGGAGATTATCCTATGCAACAAACACGCGGATTAGGCTCTGGATATCTTTTGATAGCCCCGGATAAAAGCCTAACGGTGCAAAACGCAATCGACGCCTCTCGGAGGACAAGCTGGGAAGAGGAGAGAAAGTTTTACATAAAGCCGTGAAGGTGTGCGCACTTTTAATAACGACAATTGGATTAAGATATACTCACCCAAGATACTGATAGGCTGCAAACGCCCAACGACTATGACCACACTAAGCAGAAGTGTTTTTTAATCCCTTTTTTTATTTTTATATTTTTTTCTTCTAACTATTGAGGAATTTACAGCCACTCTGAGCACTGAAAAGCTCCCGACTTTACAGTCTGACAGGCTTTCCTTCTAAGGGCACTTATTGTGGAGTCCAAAGGCGGAGATATAGGCAGTACAATGAAAAGCCACGCCCCTCTTAACCCCATACCACCTCAAAAATACGAACACACGACTTGATCCATCTGTTAAACAATGTCACTGTTGAATAAAGTTGACCTAAGCACAATCAGAATAAAATAAACGAAAAATAAAAACGCATAAACGCTTCACTTGCTTGTTAATATTGACTTCGCTGTTAAGGAACTGCAATTCAGACACTGGTATTTTGAATGGTAATTTGTATGTCACACCTGTGCAAACAAAAAGAATAATGTAGAAAAATAGAGGCATATAGACAATTCTGATGACAACCATTCCTGTATGAAAGTCCAGTTTTTGTCATTTTTTATTAAAGTATCTTAAAAGACATTCCAAACCATTGTTCTCTCCATATTGTCTCCCTGTTGCCATGTGTCTTTCAGTTTAGCACACATCAGCCTTTTACCTCTGTTTTTTTTTTTTTTAAAGAATCGCTTCTTGACAGCCATGGAATCAAGGTGATAATTATTTTGGATGAGGCTTTAATAAACAGTGGATGGATCATCAGTGGGCCCAGATGCATCTCCCTGGTCCTGTGTCAGATCTTTACTGTATTTATTCCCATTTTTCAAAAAACAGGTTGCTTTTTAGATACTTATAACATGCATTTATTTTATGTAATTTAGGCACTACTTTTACACCAGCCACTATGTTGATACATGAGTTATCAATCCTTTTAGGAATCACCTTGCAAAAATATTGTATGGTGTAAAAGAGCTTAACTGAAAATGAGAAATAGTTAATTATCTGGAAAATTTGAGAGGGCTGATTTTTTGTAAAGTTGAAAATGATCTTCACCTCCAACCAAAGATAGTTCAAGTTTACTTGCCAATACTAATATTTTTAAAACAGCTGAGGTAACTGTCCATACACATCTAAGGGTACTTACACAAACACCCTGGTTTTATACCATTTGTATGGTCAAATCTTCTACAATTTCATAAAGTCTTAAGTAAATCTAAGTAATCATATCTAACAATGTAGACCCATATGGTGGTGGAAGTTCAGCTATGTTATTTTGACTCCATGCATAGACACTGCAGGCTGCAATTGCATCCACACCCTTTCCACTCCCCAAGAGAAGATTGTTTTCGCAGATCTTCTTAGCAGACAAGCGATATTGGCATTTCTGGGGAAGCCACCACACCCACTGTTAGAACAGTTTGGACATGCCCGAGGAATGCCTTGCTTTACTTATGACATCAGATTCTATTACCACTGCTGATACAAAGTCAGAGTTTACAAACTGTAAGGGACAATTTGGTCAGGGGAAAGGGCTCTGTATGAAAAAGAGTTTTTACAACCAGCTCTCTTAAACTTTATGAGGTCTCCTTTCATAACTATAAAAGGTAAGTACACCTCCCTTCCTCCCCTAAAAGCAGCTATTAAATCTCGTACCTTCCTCAAAAGGTTCCAACCACAAAGCTTTGTCACAATGCAACAAAAAGAAAGTATTAGGTTCATGTCTGTAAAGTGATTAAGAAGGGAAAAAATAACTAACAGAACCAGAGATATGATTGAAAATGGGGTTTAATGGTTAAGTTTTGATGAATTTACATACCCATATGAGGGCATTTAGGAGCATGGGTCTAACGACACTCTATAATAAATAGGAGTAACATGCAAGTTGTCAACATCAAAACAGAGTTAAATTCTGACACACAGATTATCTAATGGTTCATAGACAGCCTCCATCATCACCTTTTCTTAAAGCTCCAGAGGCAGGCGAGGTTCAGGTTGTACTACGTAGTTAGGGTCTCCAGACATACACAGATAAAGATTCCAGTCTTCATGGAAAACAAACAGCAAATAATTACCATAATTTCATGTAAATCAACTTCATCACTTGTACCTTCACAAAGTCAGCTCTCAATTATCTTTAAGAGTTTTACACAAAAAGGCGCAATAAAGTACTTTGAAATATGTTCTTCGGTTGAATTTTTTGAGTGATCACTCCA